TTAATGCAAAACAGACAAATCAATTATATTTATCAATCGATTATCGACATAACCTCAATCCGTTTAACCAGTTAGGTGAATAAATTTTATTTCACAAACCAAATATTTAGGTATCATTTCACTTTATCTAGTGACCGGTTCTTATCGAACCATACGAAATTCGCAATTTCTAGCAAATCCGTATGTACGATATGTCAATTAATTGTTTGCAAAATGAAACAAATCAAACAAATTCAATTTTCAACTTGGGCTTTATTGACTAAAACAATTTTTAACTTCTTTTTTTTTTTTAAATAATTTCAGTCTGAGTAATCTTTACATAAATAATGTACACAAATTCCAGAATTCAAAACATAATAATAATAATAGAGATACAAAATTTAAAAGACAGCAAATAGAACTGGGAAAATATAGCAGTGTTGGTACTAATATTTGGTATGAAGGCCACTTGCATCAATAACAACTCGAAGACAACGGGGCATGGACTGAAAAAGGTTGTTAAATTCATAATTTTCGTTCTTTAAAATATCCAAGTAACACTCCTTCGTCATCACGTCATTGAAAATTCGGAGCTCACCAACACCTTTCGACGAAATGCAACCCCAAATTTTACTGTTGGAATTATATTTTTCTGTGCAAAGCTGTGTTGGGTTTTTTCCAAACTTTACCGGGTCCATCATGATAGGACAACAATAATTTCTTTACAGCTATTTCTGAGGAGTACTCGCGTATTTTTAAGACTTTCCAAATTGTCTCGTGACTTACTGTAACGCCCATTTTCTAAGGATGGTTTGAGGATCATCAGTGATCCGCATTAAAATTTTTGAATGAACGCGTCTAGAAACCTTCGGTGGTCCACCTCCAGAGTGCTTTAACTCCAACCTGTTTTCCATTTCTGATCGTTTAATAATATTATGTATCGTTCTAAGCTTGATGAAAAACATTTCCGCTAATTCCTTAGCCGATTTCCCTTTGTGGTAGTTCAAATAAACTAATTGAATAAGATTTTCATTAATTCACTTGCCAGGCATTGTTAAAAGCGCTAAATCAACAAGATCTGAACTGTCTAAAGCATTAATCGGATTGAATGTAGGAGAGCAACGCATAGCTATGACGTACGAGTTCACTCGTTTTCAAATTTGTGGTACAGTTAAGTTATCTACATTTTATTTTGAATTGTGTGAGGATTTTGCATGGAATTAAAACCCAACGAAATATTTGGCGAATTTGAAATTTATTATTTCTTTAACCGTTCGATTCTAATGTTTGTTATTTCTGCGAGAGATATTTGTTAAGAATACTTAGAGTAACAATACCAATTAATAAAACAAAGGAAAATAAAATACTTTCATTTGTAAAATAAAATTTGAAAAGAGATTTTTGTGATTTTTTCATTTTGCAAAGAATTAATTGGACCTACTGTATATATGTAACGAAGAATTCAATTTGCATATTAAGATCACGCTGTACTAATATGTCAATTTTCCGGGTGCCTGTTAACGTGATGATCACGATACCGGCCGTTAAATTTAACAAAATGATAAATTCCTCTTCATTTTCTCGACCTCCTTAAAAAATAAAATTTCTTTTCGCAATTTGGCGCACGGATGCTTCTTCAAACCTTTCCTCAAGCTCTTGAGTTCTTGAGTATAAAACACCAATCTAGTTTCCTTTGTATTTATATATAAATTTAATGGCAAAAGAAAATAAATAAGTAAATTTGTAAATCAGCTGTTTTCTTTCTAAACAGAGCAGATGTTGCTGTCGACAGCGCTTTGACCGGCTGTTAAATTTATAATTTGTTAAATTTGGGTAAACTTTAGTATAGAGCTGGTGTATTTTTTTTTATTAAAATTACTGGGCTGTTAGTGGCAGCTCTACAATTATCAAAATTATAAATTTTATCAACTGCAAAAATATGAATATATTTAAAGTGACACTTTTACATAAAGAAAGTCTGAGCGTATTTCAAAACACACTGAAAACACTTGGCTGGGCAGGCGTTGCTACTCCGGAAAGTAATTTAATAATTGAAAATAAATGTTCTGAAAAATGTAGTATAAGAATTTAGTATAAATTATTGTATAAAAATAAATGTGACTTTCTTAAAAATACTGGAACACAGGCATTCGTAGTTGGGCGCTTTTTGAAAAAAGTTCCCAATGTCGGACCTACACCGGCTTCGCCTTGTAAGTGTTTTTAAGTAAAAAACCTTGATTTTCGCACAAGCTTTGATGCAAAATTCACACTCTTTTATGATTGCATATAACAATAAACAATGTATTAGGTTACGTTGCAGTAATTTCGATGTCAAAGATGCACCACTCGTGGAAACATACCGTCACGTGGGCACTTATTTATTTGCTGAAACCACTTGAATAATCTTGGATTCAAAAAGAAGCTCGATGTTTGAGTGCCACACGAACTAACGCAAAAAAACATGATGGACCGAATTTCCATCTGCGAATCGCTACAAAATCGACCCCTTTCTGAAGCGGATTGTGACTGGCGATGAAAAATGTGTCACTTACGACAACATCGAGCGAAGCGTCCCAGACGGTGGCGAAGACCGGATTGACGGCCAAGAAGGTTTTGATGTGTGTTTGGTGGGATTTGCAAGGAATTATTTACTACGAGCTGCTTCCCTATGGCTAAACGGTCAATTCGGCCTTCTACTGGCAACAACTGGACAGCTTGAAGGCAGCACTCATCCAGGGGAGGCCATCTTTGATCAACAGAGGCCGAATTGTGTTCTATCAGGACAACGCCAGACCACACACGTCGTTGATGACGCGCCAGAATTCTGGAGCTTGGATGGGAGGTCCTAATGCATCCACCTTATAGACCTGGCACCAAGTGATTACCATGTTTTCCTAACCATGAACCCATAAGTTTTCATTAAAATAAAGCAGGCTACATACTAATTAATCAATTATTCCATTATTATTAATTTTCTAAATAGCACATTCAACACTAAACTACGAACTACGAATTTTTCAATTTCCATTTAGCACATTAAAAAGTAATAAATTATATTTAAAAAAAAAATCAAATAATAGAAAATGCAGCACAATCACTTTTTGTATGATATTGCAGAGTTGTATTTCAAATTTTATTCCATATCGCACTTGCGAGTGCCATTGTTTTATCTTCAGAAGAGATAAGAAACGTACACACGTATGTATATTTCCGATAAGATAATGTGCAGGTAAAATTATAAATTTTCCACAATAGTTGCTAGTTAGGTACTAAACCGTGGTATGCGTTTTCGATTCAGATTTTAAAAATTATTTATTAAGACGATTTGAAATATAGACATGGGTGTATACATATACGTAGGTATTTAAAAACCTATGATGAGTTCATAGAGTATGCAACTTGTATGTATCTACATATGCACCAACAAACATACATATGTATGTATACATCAATTATTGAACAATAAGCACATTTTGAACACCTGCCTGTTAGCCAGGGCAGACTCTATACCAAGCAGGTAGAAACACACAAAAATTATAATAAGTTGCTGCAACAGATAAAGGCAAAAATAGGTACTTGTTTTCTTACATTCCGTACATTCTTATATATTTATGTAACCGTGATATTAAATTCATATTTGAGAATCCACGCAAATAGTCACCAACTTAAGTATACACGTATGTACATATTTATGTATAGGCAAGTGCTCTTTTCTATGCATTACGCCGGCTTGTTGAATGCACTTTATTGGGCAGATGAAGGAAAAACCAAAAATTAAATAAATTCTGCAGACATAAGCACCATTGCAGCCAAAAACGCGACTGCGGCGGCGGAAACAAATGAACACAGTGGAATGGCGGTGAAAAAAGGTAAATATAAAATAATAAAGAAACTACACAACTGAACAAATACTTCTATTACACATTACTTTTGCATATATCCAGTCATACATATTCAATTCGCCTCCACTTGCACTTCTGATTACGTATATATTTGAATTTTGGCTTTTCCACTATTTATTTAGGGTGTGCGTTTTTATATTTTTTCTTTTGTGCTCTCTTCTCTTTCTCAATTCACTTTTTGGCCCGAGTTAAGGGCCAAAAAGAGCCAATAACAAGATGTCCAGCGCACAAACAAGCAACAGAAATCACTCTCCAGCTGTGTGACGACCAGACATTTCCTCACTGCATTTTGTTTGCTGGGTACTCGTTCGCTGGCTGGCTGACTGGCTGTTTAACTTGCTGGCTGAAGTGGTCGAACCGGTTTTATGCTTTGTGTACTGCACACTTTTATTCGCATGTACAAATGTATGGGTAATAATAACGAAAAGTAATGGAAACAGCAATAATGAAATTAATGAAAAGAAGTATACACAAATATATTTTCATGCCTATTGGTGATGTTGCTTTCTTGGAAATGCACAAAACATATAATAATTAATTTGTATTATTTGAAAAATATTTATTTTTATCGAAATTTGTTCACAGCTGAGATTGTTTTACAGTTTGATTTGCTGGCTGGGTAATTCCAGCAGACAGTCAAACACACATTCATGCACACATAGTGCATATGAGAAATTACTTGTGCTGGTTCGTTGATCATTCTAAATTCGCACTCGCTCCAATCACTCACTGCTTAATCATATTATTGCGCTTTTTTCTTTTCTCTGAACTCTCTTCGTTTGCAAAATATCAATTTTAAATTATTTCAAATGTGTTGTCTTTACATTTAAAATTTTTTACAAGTAACTATTTAATAAACTACTGTTAAAATGCACAGCTACATATATATACATAGATATTCACTCCCATAGCTGCGTATATAATTTATTACTTTTCACTTCTGTTTTTTCTTAACTCACTCACATACCAAATGGCATTTGTATCTGGGCGCTGTTTGCATGCACGCAATCACTTTGTTATTTATATTGCTTCTGGTTGATTATTTGTTTATCTCAACTATAATACTAAAACACACACAAATACAAAACAATATATATATTACATAGATATAATAACTACCGGCTAATTGGCTACTTAGTGGTCTTTCCGCCCGAATATTGAAACGAATAACACACCAAACGTAAAATATCTATACACGACGACGTTTACAAATCAACTAAATTTCTTTGTTGTTTTTCATATCAACCAACTACAACATACGCTTTATGCAACCATGCGCTGTGGAATGTATGGGTATTGCCAGTCAAAAGCCAACTGGTCTGTGATTTGCAATTATCGCATGCGAGATAATGTGTCGTATGTGACTTATGTACAGTGACACTCAAAGTGTGATACTACGTTAGTTTGAAATGTACTGTTTGGCACAGGGCGTGCAAAATGTATTCTTTACGTTAAAGTTTGGCATAAGAAAAATTTAAATTTATTTAAAACAAACGAAATCATATTGTAGAATAATCTTTTACTCATCCCTGTTTCGACTAATTATTGCAAGTTTTAATTTATTGTGTATAGCAGTAATAGCGAATTGATATTGTGAATTTGTACAAAGTCCTCAGGACTAAAACCAACAATGTGTGGATATATTGCTGCTAAAAGTTTTGTATATTTGTTTGTAAATTTTTTTTCAATTTTTTTTTTTTTGAATATACTCGGCCAAAGAACGTATGTATGTATGTTAATAAAGGCTAAGGTGAAGTAGTGGAGTGCGCGGGTACACAAGGAAAAAATACAGAACCCTTCAGCATTTTCATTCTGTCCAGTGTATATGTATACATATGTTTCCTTGCTTTATTATAACTATGTGTATATGCCCCGTCGTTTTGCACGCATATTCAAACAATTTTTTGCAATTCAATTGGCTATTTTTGGTTTTGGTTCGAAATTTCGTTTCGCAGTCATAATTGCCCCGAAGTACTACGAAAATCGCGAGAAATTTGAAGGAAGTAAACCAACTTTCCTTTTCACCTCAACAAAATTTTTCAAATTAGTTCACAGTTGTTTTCTCTTTTTATTAATCTATGTGTGTACGTTCCTCGAATCGACGCTCACGAACTGCCGCTTAGAAATATGATGTATGTATGTATATGTATGTATGTATGTATGTATGTATGTATGTGAACACTAGCATACCCGGCAGTCGGTTAATCATTAACCATTGAAGTAGCTCTCAGGAGTGAGTACTGGTCTCAAGCCCTATGTTGCAACTACCCATTTTACTTACCATCCGTTCATAACAGGCGACGTCAGCAGCGAGATACATACACGAGTTATCGACGCTGCAGAGAACGGCGAAATGTTGCCAGCTGCCAGTGTTAAACAAATATATAATTTTCGTCAACAAAATTCTTAATTTATGTGTTCGAATATAATATACATATACTTGTATATTTGTATATATGTATTATTTACATTATTAATTTATTTTAAGAATAAACGAAAGTGAAAAAATTTTATTGAAAAACAAAATTGCAGAAACATTTGGGATGGGTTTGACCGGGGAATGCTGCAGTGGGCAGGACTTGATATTCACATAGTAAAAAGAAATAATTATTTTTTCTAGAAAATGTATATGTATGTGTGGTAAATACGGGTAAAGTTATGTCATACAGAAGAAAGTGTCAAAAATTAGTAAACAACAAGCTACTGCGCAAGGCGCAAACCAAGGCCCAGGCGGCCGAAAACCACCATATGTGAGCAAGAGCTCTAGACAAATATGTAAGTACCTAGCAATGTGTTTTAAGAAATACTTCTTTCTTGCATACTTTTCTCAATGCCAAAACCTCAAGTTTGCAGCCCAAAAAATTTTGCGATTGTATTTGCATGAAAATGAAAATATTGCATGTTTGCTTCAATTTTACATAAAATGTTAATAAAAATCACTGACACATTCTTTTCAAAATTTTTATCAATAATCACCCGCTGCACACTTTTTCATCGTTTTGAATTTTTAAACACGATTTTTTCACAAAATGGGAAATTATCCATTTTCCAAAAGTTTTTAGCAGACAAAAAATGTCTGTGAAAATCGGTTCCTATATAACATTTTTAAAAATACTGTCTTTTCCCTTAGAATTTTGATAATTTTACACGTTTTAGACATTTTTTACTCGTGCCATTTGTATTGCAAAGCAATAATATTAATTTTCATAATTTTTTTTAATTTAAATACATTTGTTCGACATAAACCTCAAAACGTTTTAATTTTAATTAATCTTAATTTAAAAAAAAAAAATTGCTATGCAAGGCTTTAGAGTTTTATAGTGAAATTGTTACGATGTTTCATAGACAAAATTATGTACTTTAAATTAATTTAGAAATTTTCGGCTACCAACAAAAATGAACCAACTCCATCATTAAACATATGATTTTGTTCCTGTCGTAACCTTGTATTTTATAAAGCTTGCATCCAATGTTTTAGCTATAACCCAGTAGCGAATTGTAATGGCTTTAAAATAAAGTAGTAAGCAACATTTACCGTATTCGACAACTTCCAGCGTCCATTACATTTTGTACAGGACTTGTGTTTGATCATTCATTACCACTTCACTGACATTTTCTAAAGAAAAAGCTTCCCAAAGGCAATTTACCACTTTGGAAGCAAAGTGTTCATAAGATCAACGTTCCAGTCCATTGTAAATTGCAAGCGAAATGGACCATGGAAGTGGTAATGTGTACAACTAACATTTCTTTTTGCTACTAAAGTAAACCAACCTAAAAATTAATATGAACATAAATATAAATATTATGTACTTATATACACATTTATGGATTTATTTTAACAATGGATTCTGAAGATAATGGAACATCGATATCCTATTTTCGCAAAACCGGAAGCAACTTATTGAAATTTCGCCTTGATATATTACTCTCTATTCGCCAATGTGGAAGATTTTAACTAAACTTTCACTATTATTGTTCGAACTTTGCAAAAAACTGCTCCAATTTTCATGAGTTTCAATATATTCAAAATTTTTGTTCATTATTTCACTAAAAACTTTGTTCCCAAAAGTTGGCTCAAAATTGCTTATATACTTTGCATCTCTGTGACATGGTTTCACTCTGGAAAAAAATCATCGAAAACGAAAGCGATGCCAGACGCGATAGCAGCGACTACGCATTGGCCATTACTACTTTACATTACGAAATTCATTGGTGACGAAATTTGCTACTGGGAAGCGCTTATGATACCCACATACAGTCACTTAAAGCATACCCTTGATCTACCCGCATTTCCGCTATCGGAAATACGTTTTACTAATGCGCCAAAAACCGTCAGTTTAAATGTCAGATTTATCTGTCACAATTACATGTCACTTTTGACATTTTGATTATGATCAACAGTGTAAAAGCATGACTAGGAAAAAAGTGAATACATGGCAAGATATGCGTACACATGATGCCTGTTTGTTCACATATGAGAGAATACATACATATATGAGAGAATACACATACATATACTCCCAGGCGGAAAGATTGAAAGAATTGCTTTTGCAAAAATAGCATAAAATGTTGGCAAAGAAGATTTTCTCGTTAGGCTTAGGTGATGGCAAAAGTTTTGAGAAAGGCTCTAAATTAACTACGTGACATCATCATGATTCGGTGACCATTGGAGTCACGAAGTGAAACCAGGTGATCTCCACCCTTTCTTTTTTACCAGTATGGGAAACAGAACGCGGCTGTTGATGGCGACTACGTCAATACCATCAGCAAGTGCTAATTGTGGTACCCTCCTTCAGTTTGTTCGAAGGGTATCTTTAAATCAGACGAAGATGGGGCTGCTATCGATCCTTTTCCCCCGGATGATCTGATATTGAAAAAAAATAAGAAGAGGCATCTATTCTCCCGGAAAGGATAGAGTACACTCAGGTTTCAATCGCCAGACATGCAAAGAAGCTGGTGCATGTCGGTACTTCTTACCATTTCGCCACTCATATTAAAAAGACTTAGTCGTTAGGCCATGGGTTTCAAGTGAATAATCAGTAGAACTTAGAAAATTATACAAACTCATCGGAATTTATTTACAAAAGATGTTGACGTAAAAAAAATTCCGATTTCAGATTCGCCACTGCATCCTGAAAGTGATGGCTGTAATTGCCAGCCTTTACGGAACACAGGAAGAAATACAGTTTTTATGCATGGAGAAAAATGTGCGTATGCATGTGTATATGTATATGTTTAGTTATGTATTTCGGGGCAGGGATATCATTATTTGAAGCACTTTTCGTCTCATAATCGTTTTTCAAGCAAATAATATGCACTAACATAACCTCAAACCACTGACTGCTGTTGTTGAACTTGTGAAACACCTGTCTGGCCTCATGCAATTCAATGGCCACCACTCAGACTTAACTATGCGCCAATTATTCATGTCATTATGGTGGTAACGGCACTAGATATGTGCGTGTATACATACTTAAATGCACATATGTATATACATAAGAGTTAACAGTGCACTCGATGCAGTATGTAAAATGTGTTGTATATATACATATGTATGTATGTACTTGTGTAGTGAGTCACCCGACACAATACTACGAAAATATAATTCCTTACAACTGAAATCCGTTCACGCCTTTCGCCACTTTAATTGCCACTTACACAAATTGTTGGTTAATTTGGAATCATAAAAACCGCTTGTGGCTAGCACAAACACATTAACGTAAAACAAAATTCCCATATATACATATTTATCAAAATGTGCATACACACTCAAAGAGCTGCCCAGTGCGAAAGGTTGTAATGAGAGCAAATGTGTGCGTTTAAAACTGTAGCCTAACATTGGGCGCACGATATTTTTTTTATTTGTTAATATTTTTTAGTTTCACTCGTGTTTGGAAAAATCGCTAGGTTTACACTCATAACATAAATCGAAAAAAGTATGTAATATACTAGAAAATATGAAGAGAACGAAGAACTACAGTTTTCTAAAATTCCCTACAGACCCACCTGAAGGTTGGATTATGAAAGAGACTAACTCCGACAATACTCTGTGGTCTAGCAGTTCACGGAACCAGAAAAAAAAAAAAAAAAGAAACAAACAATTGCGGTTGACCTTTTAAAACTGTTTGTTGTTGTTGTTGCAACAAGGTTAGTGCCATTTTAAATGGCCGGATTATTTTTGGAATTTTTTTTCAATCAATTGCACGAGTGCAGTAGGCGGCCAGCTGTATGAGTGTGTTGGTCGTGTTAATGTTTGCAATAATTACAAAATTATGTATCAACATGTATGTATGTATGTATGCTTGTATACAGACATACATTTATATATTCTTGAATGTATTACCGTTGATGTGTATCTCAGTTTGATGGCACTTTGCTGGTGAAAACGGCGACATTAATAGCAGAAGCCACTCACTTTGCAAAGTTACATGCGCACATCAACAGCAGCAGCGATCACAACAACAACGACAATAATAGCTTTGAAGTGAAAATGCCAAAACCACATTTTTAAAGTGTCGTGCAATTGCCATAATAAATATATGTTGTCCTCTGTATATACGTTTGCTGACATTATTCGAAAGCTTTCACAATTGTACTAATACAAGCCTGAATTTTGCAAGCTCCTAAATGTAGGCAGCATTCTTTCAACATTCGAAATTTATTACTCGGAAATAGAGAGACTTAATGGGAGCGAATTTTCACTTTTGCTAAGGAATAAGTAACATTATACTATCTGAGGTAGTGCGGATATCGTGGTATCTTTGGATACTTACTAGAAACTAACCCTACGTACCAATATTTGCGGGAACCTCATTAGGGAAGCTTTTAGAGATAACACTCTTCTGCAAGAAAGTACTGTCATTGAGGAGTGGTGGATACTTGATAGTATTTTCAACACTCTAATAGCTGCACTTAGGGTTTGACGTAGTCTGTAGAGCTGGTGTGCGTTTCCAACAAAAGGAGGGTCCCACAGTTTATACTAGTCTCCGAATGTCTGATGCATTTTTAAGCCGAGCTTTTATTAAAGGATGTTTAGACCATTAAAAATTTACTGCGGCCATTTTGAAGTTTTACCAAACTGTGCCTTTTGCAATGTCCGTTTCCTCGGCAATCGGTCAGACTCGCCGATTTCCATTATTTTAGCGACATTTTCGACAATTGGCCTTCCACACCGAGGAGCATTTTTTATATTAAAATTACCGACACAAAATCGACGGAACCAAAATGTTTACTATGTTCCCTCTTTCTCTCTGAATCTAATTGTAAAGTGGTTCAATTTCTTCGCTAGCAGGATGAGATCCTAATTACAACTTATAGGGAATATTCATGTGCTGAGTTCGCTTCCAGTTGCGAAGGGCGTTTGAGTAGGCGTTGTGATAAGAGACCCACTGATAAATATAGTTGCTGCTCTTTGTACACTTTACATACGCCATCTTACATATTTATTTATTTTCCATTATTGGTCACCAACCTGAAATAACGTATGCCACATCCGACCTTACGACTGCCGTATAGATATCATAAGATAAACCCCATTTAAGTCCCATCATCATTTTACAGCTGTAAAGTGCAACCCATTCAATCTGAACTTGAAAGTTTGGTTTCCATAACAGCATCCTGTCCTGAGTTATTACTGAGCAGCTGGGTACTATATATTAAGGAAGGTGTAACATCTGGAATTCTGTGTTTCCTGATGAACCATTGTTCCCTAACTCTGGTTTAACGTTGAAGCCACATGATACGACTTATTTATTGAAAACATTTAATATTTTTTGCATTAAGATAAGTGTATGTGGGAATTTACCTCTAACTTAAACAGCCCCATCGTCGGCTGTACTCCCCGCTTTCATAGACCTATCAACATCTTTTTGGTTGTAAGATTCCAGAGCAGTGTATATCTTTCTACAGATCAATTCATTTTTGAGGCCCCCAACATTGAAATTATAAACCTGCTCGGGAGCATGTGCTGAATAATTTCACAAGCGATTTGGAGATGCCCGAAGCATTCCACTGTGACTCTTGGCTGAATGCTATCAAAAGCGCCTTCTATGTCAAGGTAGGCTGTTGGGGTGAACAACTTCACCTACAGAGATGTTTCAATTTCTACTACCACAGAATTTAATTCTGTTTCCGTGGACTTACCGTTTGAGTAAGCAAGTTGTAATATCGCATGTTATTCTGTGGTAAAATTATTTCTTACGTGTACTTTAATTGATCTTCCTTTTTTGAAAGAAATTATGAAAGAAAGGCTAAATAGGCAAAGCCTTTTGTGTTACTATAAGAGCTTCTAGCAGGTTTTTATATAAAATTTTTTTTTCTATAAAGAAGGAATATATTTTAATTTCAGCACCGCTTTGGAAGTGGTTATGTGGCTGCAAAGAAGACAGATAATTAATAACAGTTGTTTTTTAGTAGGAAGAACCTTAAGTTGGCCACGAAAAATGCAAACCAGTTTCACTAACTTAACCTTACCCCAATCTGGACATGAAATCACCAAAACCACTTTGTCTCCTAAATGCAATGTTATTGATTATAATAAAATTAATTGGATCCTTCCGTACAAAGTAAATTTATAACACGCTCACATGAATTCGTATGCATGGGCTGCTTTATTAAAATATACGAGGTGTGTGCAAAAAGTATCGCGAATTTTGAATTTTCGCGGGCTATGTGTAATCGAATTTCGATTTTTTTATGTTGGTACTCATGTCTGTCACTTATGCCGACAAGCTCGGCCATTTTGAATGTTCACTTAATTGTTGACAGCTGCTTTGCTTGCACGTGTTTTGGATGGTCTTCGATTTTTACCTGTTCGAAAAAATGGATCAAAGAACCTGTATCAAATTTTGTGTGAAAAACGAAATTTAGTGCGCGGATGCATTCCGGATGTTGACTGTGGCATACGGAGAAGCTACCTTGGACCGAAGCAATGATTATCGATGGTACAAAATGTTCTCAGAAGGCCGAAAAGATGTGAATGACGAAGAGCGTGCCGGACGCCCGAGCACTTCAACAACAGACGAAACAATTAATTGTAGGGTCGTGGTGCATCATGAGTTCTTGCCACAGGGTAAAATGGTCAACAAGGAATATTACCTGCAAGTTATGCGCAATTTGCGCGAAGCAATCCGCCAGAAACGGCCGGATTTGGGGAAGAACAAAACTTGGCTTTAGCACCACGATAACGCCCCTGCTCACCCATCGTTGCTTGTGCGCGACTTTTTAGCCAAAAACAACACATTAATGATGCCGCAACCACCGAATTCCCCAGATCGTTCTCCTGTGACTTTTCCTTGTTCCCTAAACTGAAGAGGCTCGTGAAAGGACGACGTTACGCTACGATTGACGAGATAAAGACGACATCGAAGGAGGAGCTGAACAAGATATAAAAATTGTTTTTTNGCAAAACCGTCGTCGTCGTTAAAGAATCATTCCAAAAACATTATTTAAATCATGAGTTTTTGGTTCCTTTTTTTTTGTTCTTTTTAAAAAGCGCATTTGAATAAAAAAAAATTTTTAACAAATAGATATGTTAAGTTATTAAGTTTACGTTACATGAATTTTAGTTTTCGATGTCACTTATTTGCAGCTATGTACATATAACCAAGTACTCGCACGTACATATGCACATAAGTACATTGGTATGCACAACAGCATTTAGCTAAGGTTTAAACTGAAATAATATGAATTAAAATAAAATCAGTCAAGAGCCAATGAAGTTTTGCTATTTGTTGTTGACCTCCTACTTAGCTGCAATGCTTTTTCGTGCATTGATTTAAACACACATTCATAAATATGCCAAAATACATTGCTATTGACACTACGATGTACATGTGTATATACATACTATGTAAATATTTGTTGGGGACAAGGAAGACCAAGTTTTTATTTTAGTTGGCAAATATGTGAGCGCATATATATGTTTATAAAATTTCTTCTGCATACTAAACTACAAATAAAACTACATACAAAGATATGTACATATGTATTATTTGCAAAAAAAAGAAGCTGAAGATTTTGATAACTAAATAGTATTTAAACCCAATTAATTGTTACATGCTTCATCAGTTCAATTTTGCTCTACAATAGTAAAACAACAGCCAACAACAAGAACCCACAAAATGTTCAAATACGTAAGTATTTAAAGAAAAGAAATCAGTTCTTTTATTATAAAATCTTCTTTCTCTTTAATTAATTTTATTTTTAATATAATTCATCCACTTCCAGTTCGCTCTCGTTTTCGTCGCTCTCTTCGCCTTCGCCGCAGCTGAGCCTAAGCCAGCTGTAGTCGCCGCTCCTTTGGCCTACTCTGCCCCATTGGTCGCCTCTCCTTACGCTGCCGCCTATGCTGCTCCATATGCCGCTTACGCCGCTGCTCCTTATGCCGCCTACGCTTCACCCTACGCCGCCTACTCCGCTTACCCATATGCCAGCGCTGCTTATGTGCTCCGCAAGTAGATGGAAAGTAGTGGAAATCTGTGATAGTATCAATCGGAATCGGAAGAGTACAAAGTTTTGAAGTTACTCAAATGAAAATGGAAAATGAGATAAAGAAATAGAAATAAAAAAAATAAAATACAATGAAACCCCTAAATCAGTGCTGACTTATTTAAATATATACGTGTATATTGTATATTTTTATTATAGAATTTGACAGATTCCAAAAAGATTGTAGATCGGAAATGTCATACCTTTTTGCACATTATAGAAAAAATAAAATTAAATAATATAAAATAATAAAATACGATAAGAGAAGAGAAGAGAAGGAAAAACATAATAATGCCAGGATTTGAACCTGAGCCTGAATGGCAGTATGCAATCCGAACCACTCGGCTACCGCGGCCGCCATTATACAATAGAATGAAATAAAATTAAATAATATAAAATAAAATATGAGAATGAAAAAAATAATGCAATTTTATGCATATAATTGGCGCTTTGCAAAAGCTGAATCGGTTCACGGCCGAGATCCTCCTCCAATTTGTAGTTTTGCGTCTTGATGACCTACACTCTATATTAAGCCGCCTCCGAATGGCTCATTGCTTTTTATGAGGTAATGACTCCTCATAATTTCATGCCATAAATTCACTCGAAGGGGTTGTCATTTAAATATACAATATAAAATATAATAAAAGGAGTAAGAAGAAGAAAAATACATTGGTACAAGTAGTATATACAGGCAGGTCACTTAAAGGCCTCCTCTGAGTAGCCATCGCCCTTCCTATAACCGTTTTCGGATTACTTCAGGTTGGAGTTCCATTTTGTCCATTGTAAGATCTCTTCAGCTCTTCTTTCTACAGTAACCACCACTGTACACACTTCAAAAATGTGGCATCCACATCTGAAATAGATATTTCTAAAAAAATATCTGTGCCTGTACAAGCTTTTATTATCTCCTTTGCTTATCTCCTTCTAGACTCATTTGTTCTCTTAATCTTGCCATAATATCATATAAGAGATACTTTCCTCACCTCCCTTTTTATACTTGGTTTAAATGATTTTTCAGCAGCCATTCATTTTGCGCTCGATAGTCACTAGGTAGATAATCCATAAACTTTTTGCAAGTGGTATGTGTGGTGTCCTCTTTGGCAGACTTGACGCGGGATCAGCGAGTTGAACCAGTTTCGAGATCTTATCGTTACTTTGCTTACTCCCCTACAGTGTTTCGAGCAATTATAACATATCATATGTCATGTCATATGCGCGACAACTAAAAAGCAGTTAAATATCCCGTCGTTGCGGTTTTTCCATTTGCTTCTTAGCATTTCCATAAGATAGTCAGATATCCTGAAACCTTTTAGTGGTGCAATGATAATTTCGCTTCAAGGCATTTCGAACATTCAGACTTTTAAGGGTATAACACCAACTGACTCTGAGCTAGCAATGGTTGCCTCTAGCCTGGGCATATACTGATGGGGGAATTAGAGTTGCTTTTGCTGATCAGCACAAGTTGTTATCATTTCCACAACATGCCGAGTAATAATAAAGATTATTTTCAGTATATGTATCTCTGGTAAATCCATCCGGATCCATCAGTTAAGGCATTTTGTTCTTGGAAAAGTGCGGCAGTCGGGTCTTAATACCCAACGACCCGGATTATTACCAGGCCAAGGACTGTCACTCCCATAATATTCCCCAAAAAGTACTTTGGGGAATATTTTTACGGTTACAACAACAACAACACCAACAGTACTATTGAGATGTCGTTAATATTTTTATGATTACTTTGCGTGGAAGTAATTTTTTCACACTCGAGCAGCAAGTGTCAACAGCAGACACTATCACCAATAAATATACCTTACAAATATATGCAACCGCAAACGCCAATTCAGCGTTTATACACGATATTCACATGTATGTAGGCAACTATTAAACAAACTATATATCCGTTGCCAACTACTAGTGACAGCCACGAATCAACTCACACACTTAAGTGACCATGAAAATGTCGTTGACAGCCGAGTTGCCGACAACTGTGCACGTTGAAGGACTGCCAACAAGTCCACCGCACAAAATATATCTAAATTACATATAAATATATATTCTGCGATGCGTTAGTGACCGACATTTGTACAAAATTTAAGCAACGCATAAATTTCGATTTGCAAAGAGGCCAGTAGGAAAACTGGGGACCAAAACTCCTTAGGCTCTTAAAATATGGCGATACACGTGTGGTTTATTAATCTGCTTCTCGCACTGTAGAAGTCGCTAATAATATAAAAATCCAATAATGAGCAAATTGAAAACAAAAATATGAGGAGTTTGCAAGAAAAGGTTTATAATTAAAAATTAAATCTTTTTATGTTTAGCTTAACTGGATTTGGATAGAATAAATAACGCTTTTATACCCGAATTAAATTTTAAAAACAGTCGCTTTTACTCCAACTCAAAGGAAGTCAAGTGAAAGAGTTTTCACATCAATTTTATGGTTTTCATTTTAGGATTAGATATTAATTCTCATATCTGAAAAATTGATTGGTTGGCTGGTGGGTATGTGATGATGTTTTCCGATTTCAGTAAATTTCAGCGCCAAAGTGTTATTCATCATATAAGTACGTGCAGAACACCAAAATCACCCCATTAGCTACTTATTTTTTTTGGCTAAGAATCTCAAATTTGGTTTAATATATTTCCGATAAATGGTCGTCTAACCCTAGCGGATAAACGGGCGTGTTTAAATCAACTCAACTCGTCATTCTGACCCGATCGGTTAAGGTTTTGTGGGAATATCTCTTCTCCTTCTGGTACTTACATACTTCGGGCCGAAGTTCTTACTTCCATAAACCTAGTAGCTGGCCCTAGAGGAGGGTGTTTGAGTTTGAATGCTACGCTATATCCATGTAACCGGAACGCAGTGAAGAGAACAAAACTAGATAGTTTTACAGACGAAACAAATATTTATTATAAGTTAATCATTTGGCGGCCGTGCTACCATTTGGAAGGCCAGAGTTTAACTTCTGGTATGGCCAACATCCAAAGTTATAGAAAATTAACTTAAATAAAAAATTAAGTTAAATTTTCTAATTGCGGTCGCCCCTCGGCAGAGAATATCCACCCCTCCGAGTGTATATCTGGCATGAAATAAAAATCGTAAAAAACCAACAGCCGTTCAGAGTCGGCTTATTTCAAGCTGTAGGTCCCTCCATTTGTTGGAAAAACATAAGGATGTGAAACCACAAATCGACGGAGGAGCTCAGCAACTACAAAGCGCCAATTATATATGTATATATAAATCAATTACTAACTGTTACTAAATACTTATTGAGCCGAAAAGGAATATAATTAACATGAGTGTAAAATGTAGTGTCAAACGAATATAAATGTAAAACAAATCCATGTAGGAGGGGACATAGGAAGAAGACTTAAAATATGGCCACGTGCTGTACGGATGTTCCCTAGACTTAGTAATTGCTTAAACGTACAACTTTTCCTAGAGGATATGCGAATATTTTAATTGTGGGTGGATGGCGCTGTCAATCCTCTAGCCGTGCAAAATGAAAATGAATTTAGGTTTCATTCTGTATTCACTACCTCAGTTGGAGTGGGTTTAAAGAGCTAAGCATATTTGGGTAGAGGTGTATAAAAATAATACAGCGGTAAGCTTATAAAAATCTCTTGTCTTTTTAACGTGATTCTTGTTTGATTGATGTACTCATTCCAACAAATAGTGAAAAGCAAATAGAAACCGCCATATCAACTTTTTGCTTCTCATCATTAAGAAAAACTCCTATCTCAGCAAAAAAAAATAAATATAAAAATCCCATAAGGCAGTCCTTTCCAAACCCCTTAGGTGTAATACTACATCAAAGGTTGTTTTTGATACTCGGCATATTTTTTGGTCTGAAAGGCATTCAAAGGTTTAAGCCAAAATACGGTAAGGAGAAAATATACCATTTTCCAATTCAAATCACACAATCTTGGAAGTATAAAATGAGATTTTATTCGAAAAGAATTTTATAAATAATTTACTTTAAAATTACCTTCCGAAAGTGTCAAATTTTCTATGTTTTTGCATTTTTGGCACAAATATTCAATATCTGCTCAAAATCAAAGTTCACGATAACCGAATCGTTTTTGAACTGTGTATAATTAAAATAAATTTTATATGAATAAGAAGTGTGACGAAATTCAGGGTACAACGCAATGGCATAGTCTGTCAAGATGGGAACCTTCCATCAGCATTCTTAAAGTCTAATTAGTATCAAGAAATAAAAATTATAAAAAAAACTTCGACACAAACTTTTATATTTGTTTTTAATTTTCCATTAACAATTACTTCCAAATGATACTGTCTCATATTCCATTAAGCTACTTTCCATCTACTTGCGAAGCACATAAGCGGCGCTGGCGTATGGGTAAGCGGAGTAGGCGGCGTAGGGTGAAGCGTAGGCTGCATAAGGAGCAGCGACATAAGCGGCATATGGAGCAGCATAGGCGGCAGCGTAAGGAGAGGCGACCAATGGTGCAGAGTAGGCCAAAGGAGCAGCTACTACAGCTGGTTTAGGTCCGGCAGCAGCGAAGGCGAAGAGAGTGACGAAAACGAGAGCGAACTATTTGTGAACAAAGTAATGATTGCATAAACGATTACTCAAATTATCAATGTAAATAAAATAAGTAACACATATGTAAGTATGTATATAAGATTATCGCAAGTTGAATTTGACTACGAGTAATGTTGAAATTCACTTACATATTTGAACATTTTGTTTGAGTGGCTGTTTTACTGCTGCGGAACAAAGCTGAACTGATAGTAATTCCGCTCGATGCTTGTGTTTAAATACTATTATTCGTTTATTTGGTCACAATGGTTTATATTTTCTACAGTTTTTGAGTAAACACGTAGAAGGCCGAAAATTAACAATTTGCTATAAAATAATTTTAATTCGACGTGCAATGGCATGCCCCTATTTATAACAGATTGATGGGCACAGTGGCCAAGTTATTAAAAGTGAACACTGAGGGTTATGAATTCAGCTCCTAACCAAATATTTCCAAATTATTGAATAAAGTTTTCTAATTGCGTTTGCCCTCTTCTTCTGCTTCCACAAGCGGCTAATGCATCGAATACTTTCAAAGCTGCAGTATTCCCATCGATCTGAAATACATGACCCAGCCAGCTTAGCCGCTGTCCCTTCATTGAACTATATCAATATAGTCATATAACTCTTAGAGCTCATCGCTCCATCGTCTGCGGTATTCGCCGTTGCCAATGCATAAACGACCATAAATCGTGCGCAAAACTTTTCTCTAGGCCGACTCATCAGCTGTTGACAGCGTCTACTCCTCTGGGCTATATAGTAGGACGGGTATTGTGGGCAACTTGTTGCGTTTGGTTTCCATCCGCCGAGAGAGGGCTCAACTTTTTAAATGCCTACTCAGTCCAAACTAGCACCTGTTGGCAAGAGTGATCCTGCGTTTTCTTCGAGGCTGACATTATTATTATTGGTATTGTTGGTGATCCCTTGGTAGGCGAAATTTTCTACGACCTCGAAGTTACTTGAGAGCCAAGTCGGGAATGCGATGACTGTTTGGTGTTCCTCGCTCAGTACCTGACCCATTCGTTTTGCATCGTTATTCAGTCTGCATAATAAGACCGATAATGGCATACCCCATCAGCTGTATACTCTTGTAAAAGATTGCACCTGGATTATTTGGCTCTGCAGCTCTTATTTTTCTATCCGTCATCAAATCGAAGAAATCACACCATAAAGAGTTACCCTGTCTGAAGCCTGGTTTAGTACCGAACGGTTCGGAGAGGTCCTTCCTAATTCTGACTGCGCTTCTGGTGTTGTTCAGCGTCAGTTTACACAGTCGTATAAGTTTTGCAGAGATACCAAGTTTACAGTCGGCGAAGAGGTTGTATGTGTATTTTCCAAGATTTGGCGCATGGTGAATATCTGGTCAAATCTGGATTTACCAGGTCTAAAGTCACACTGATAAGGAACAATCAGTTTGTTGACGATGGGCTTTAGTCTTTAACACGATACGCTCAATAGGACTTTATATGCGATATTGAAGAGGCTTATGTCACGATAATTTGTGCCGGTCACTCTTATGTTCCAATCCGCATGCATGTCCGTTTCATCGGATCATATTTTGCAAAGAAGATAAAGCATGTACCTTGTGAGCACTTCTCCGCCATGTTTGAATTGAGCTTCAGCCGCTTAACGGGCAATCGCTATTCGAGCCTCACAATAGTCGGATAGTTGAACGTCTTTTCCATCGCTATCGATTGAGATTTCACTCACTGTCACCTAAAAGGCTGCTGAAGTGTTCCGTCCATAAATTTAGTTCACTCTGGGCATCCGTTACTAGATAACCCTTCTACAAGAGTTTGTTCTAGTCTTGAAATCTTCCATTGTCGGCCAGCTTCTCATGCTCTTCATACTCCCGCCTTGCGGTCTATTCTTTTTTCCTGCAAATACGTTTTGCTTTCATTTTCAGCTCTCGATTTCTTTCCCAGCCCGTACGTATTGCGGTCGAACGAAAAATTGCGAGGTAGGCAACTACCAACTGCAGCTCGTCGTTCCTCATCGGCGGAGCTGATTTTCTGGCACGGCCAAAAAACAATTGTTTCGGTAGCGGTAGTACGTAAGAAGTTTGTGATGCCTTTCCACAGTTCCCTGATTATATTTCATTTAATTCTTTTGATTGTTTTGTTTCACTTTATTTTTTTTAATTTGATTTCTTTCTATTCATTAATACAAATTTATTTTATTATTTTATTTATTTTACTTTATTTTATTTGTTTTTATACTATTTAATTTTATTTACTTAATTAATTTTTTTTTTCATTTTTATTTTATTTTATTTTGCTTCATTTTATTTTTTTTCATCTCATTATAAAAAAATTATGCTTATTTTTTTTTAATTTAATTTAATTTTATTTCATATTATTTTACTTCATTTTATTTTTTTTTAATTTAATATAAATATATTTAATTTTCTGTTATTTTTTTGTATTTTACTTCATTTTATTTAATTTCTTTTATGTTTTTTTTACTTCATTTTGTTTTGTTTTATTTGATTTTATTTTAATTAATTTATTTTTTAATTTTATTTAATTTTGTGTTATTTTTTTCATTTTACGTTATTTTGTTTTATTTCACTTCCAATTATTTTGTTTTAACATTTATAATAAAACTAGCGGTAAATGTGAATTCATATGCAGAAAGCATGATGATTTTTTTTCGGTTTAAAGTTCATTATACTTAAAAAAATCAATTCTGTCTAAACCTCACCAAATTTCTCTTTTACCCGGAAAATAATGGAATCAATTTACGAATGCACGTGAATGAAAATCGAGAGAAGTAGCATCATCTTTCTTAAAAAGAGATCGTAAAGTTATAAAAAAATATATATTAGTTGTCGAAACAAATTATTCATAAATGCAATAAGCACAGTCGGTTCAGTGGTGGCAAAACATATTGCGGAAAGTTTTTAATAAGAAATAAAAGTTTCAAATTAATTAAATGAAGTGGCGCAAAAGTAAATTTACAATATTGCTCATTTTGGGTTTGCTCCAAATCGGCGCGAGTATGCAACGGATCACAACGGAAACAAAATTTTATCGGGGCATAATCGATGTTATACCACAATTAACAACCAGGAAAAATGTTTTGCCGAAGAAAACGACTAAGAACTCCAATGGACTTTGAAAATTCGCAAATAAATCTTAATTAGCTATAAGTATGTATGTAAAAGTGAAATAATTGTAAAATAAATTATAAATGATGTAGTTAGGAAAAATTCTCTGAATTTGATGGATTTTATAACGTTGTGCGGAGGGGGGCAAACATTTAATTTTGGTCTTTTAAATACTGACAGGGCAACGCTTAGCATTGTCTTTTAGCTCTTGACAATCTGTCGACGCACAAAAATCTTGCATAAGTCTTTGCAATTCTGGTGATCGTGAAAGCTCTTCTGAAACACCACCTCTTCGTCGATTTTAAAACACTATTGGCTTCAACAACCGCACCGTGAGTTCTGCCTTCTTCAGCCATGATAAAGAAGCGAAGCGAATGGCTCTGATGGTGAATGAACCAGCATAAACGCCAATAATAATGTCAGCTTTGAAATCCAACGCAGTATGACTATTACCAACAGGTGCTTCTTTGAACTGAGCATCCAATTGAAAAGTAAATTCTTCTCTCGGCGAACGAAAACCAAACTTTACAAGTCGCTCATAATACCCGTCAACATCTGATGGGTTGGCCTTTGGAGTCTTCGAGAGAAAAGGTTCGCGAACAATTTATGTTCCTTTGCGTATCGGCGAATTTCACCGCCGATGAAACGATGAGCTGAACAGCACCATCGATATAGTTCAGCGTATCAAGAATCAAGGGCTACGCAGGCTAAGTCATGTGGTTCGGATGGACGCGAATATTCCAGCTTTAAAAGTTTTCGATGCAGTACCTGCTGTTGAAAGCAGAGGAAAAGGAATACCACCACCCCGTTGGTGAAGAGTGACCCGGCTTCACTTGGTATTTCCAGATGGCGCCAGACAGCGAAAAAAGGAGAGGAATGACGCGCTTATATTGATTTGGCTATAATCGCGTAAACGGTGCCAACGCCAATAAAGAAGAGGGAACCATGAATTGTTCGGCAACGGACTCACACTCTCTCCACAAATCCTACACTAAATTTGTAATAAATTTCACAAGATGCAGCTCATTTTGTCCTCTCATTGATGATGAGCCTTTTATACTAGAAGCTTCTTGAACATTAAGGTGTAAAACCTAAATTAATGTCAGATATAGCAATGGAACAAAGAAGTTCATTTCTTTGGTTACGTTCAGTTTATTGTATTGGGGGTTAAGGCAAGCATGAAGGCAAGTAGCTGTAAATCCTCCTCTATAAAAAGAACTTATGACGTATTAAAGTGAATAAAAAACGTTATAAGTTCCATAATCTGTCGATATACTTAATCGATTCTTTTAAAAGCTTTTTGTTTCAATTTCTCATCCAATACCCAAATTCTAAATAACAAATACCAAAACTGATTTCGTTTTGTAATCACTTATTTTATTTTATTATTTTCTTATTGAGGCCAGTAAAATTGTGTCCATTTTCATTGCCAATCAAATCCAATTTACTATCACAGATCTCTGTTGCTACTTTCCATTTACTTGCGGAGCACATAAGCAGCGCTGGCGTATGGGTAAGCGGAGTAGGCGGCGTAGGGTGAAGCGTAGGCGGCATAAGGAGCAGCGGCGTAAGCGGCATATGGAGCAGCATAGGCGGCAGCGTAAGGAGAAGCGACCAATGGTGCAGAGTAGGCCAAGGGAGCAGCTACCACAGCTGGTTTAGGCTCGGCAGCAGCGAAGGCGAAGAGGGCGACGAAGACGAGAGCGAACTAAGAGTAAAGGAAATAATTAAAAATTATTTAAATATAGATTTTTCACATTGGCAATAAATGTGGAATTCGTAGATCTTAGATTAACTCACGTATTTGAACATTTTGATTTTGTTTTGGCGGTTGTTTTACTGTTGTGTAACAAAGTTAAACTGATGACAATTTTACTTCACACTTGCCTTTAAATACAATTCTTCTTCTATGCTCCTATTTTCGTATTTCAACAATTTTGGCATAAGTAAACACGTAGAAGGTCGAAAATTGACAATTTTTTTCATAAAATGTTTACCTATGTATGTTTGTGTAGAGCAAAACAAAGAACTGAATATAAATGTTTATGTATTTGTAGAATGTGTTCAAAATATGCGTATTGAATACCGAATTTTACTACATACAACTTTTTATGTCTCTTCTAAAATACCAAACATATAATTTAATAAAAAGTTTTTTGTTGATATCGTAGATTGTCAAAACCAATAAAAAAAAGGTGACATACAGCAACTATTTACAAAAAAGTTCAACCTCGATTAAGCCACTAGGCTAGCTTTCGACATGTCCTTATCAGTAGACTGGTTGTAATAAAGTCTCTATAACCTCAATATTCAAAACCAAAAGCAAAAACCTTACAGTTTTATTGAATTCAAAGTGGAGTATCAAGCGGATACTCGCTTGGGTTTTCACTCCACTTTTCTTCAGTGGATAATATCTTAACTAACTAAAAGACCCTATGCGGCCTCATCTTGACATTTATAAGCAACACACCTCAGGCAGCGTTTTAATCCTCCTGCTGCTTATTTTAATCAACGATGGCGTCGGTTCCTGTTTCCTAACATCTAAGTTTGTAGTCAATACTGATGACCTCAAGATTCAGTAATTAAAAATCCGAATTATCTCATTACTCTTCAAAGGGAATCTGAAAAACTACAATCCTACTGCATCTGGTATCACTTACTATTAAACGTTAAAAAGGGTCCTCACTCCATTTATGCCCGAATGTTTGATCCTTTCCCTATTCTTACTATTCTCTGAAATTAAGGACTAATGTGTCTCTTTCAATTTTCTCATTTCTTTTCCTGCAAGAACGGGCTGATGGGTTCACCAATACACTTACCCAATTTCGGGCAGCAGTAACACAAAAGCAAATTTTTTTGTTTATCTTTCTCTTCTGATTACATACAAATTGAGGAAGAATGCAGTTGAACGGATTATCCGTTTTACTTTATGTTCTTTTTTTCGAGTAGAACGCCATTTTAGTTGTTTTCATCGTAGCAGATATAAGTGGAAAACGTGGATAAAGATCCTGAGAAAGATGTGGTAATAATATACAAATTATCGATTAATTAACTACATCACTTTTCATTGCTCTTTGCATTTTCTTTATTTAAGGGCATTCCATATTCCAAAGAGAATGCAGTTAGCTAATGGAGCAAGTTGACGGGAACGGTCGCTTCTAAACTTGCAGCAGCAGCATTTCTAAAAATATTCAATAAAACTGTAAGAGGTATAACTGCATTTAGACATTAATAACATTCTGATTCGAACATTCATTTTTTATTTTACTTAGACCTCTTTATACTTCATATGAGCCGCATTAATGACGGAGGCGTTCGTAGAACTGAGCAGTTTCGTCAGCAACGCTTGGCACTATTGAAGACTTCTGCATAAATGGTTTTGCTTACAATATTTTGCAGATTTTTGAAAACAACTTCTTCGCTTTGTTGCTTCCTTCTTTTGCATTCTTTGTATATATAAACCATCTACATAAGCTATGTAAAATATTGGAATAAAGACTGAATCTTAATAATGTTTTTATGTATTACATATATACATACATACAAAGTTTTTGTCAAAGATGATTTACTTCGGTATCAAAGCTGTCGCTCAGTTGTGTTCTGTTTGTCCAACAAAAATGACGAGAATGCACAGAAAACGAAGAGAGAATGACGTACATGTATACAAATGTAAAAAAAAACGTTTGTCATTTCGGCCTTAAGAAGAAAATCGTTGTGACATATGTGAGCTCAAATAGTCGAAAGCCCTTTTGTAGTGTTCCTTTTCAGATCTTCCGATTTGAGTTATATTTTTTGTTTTGAAGTGATGTTAACTTATCCCTCTATAGTTTTTTTTTAAACATAATTCATGTATTACTGAATCTGCTGAAATCAGCTTCACCCTAACAGTCAGTTGGGTTCCTTTATCAAACTTAGCCGCTCTCATAAGAGGCGGTAAATTATCTTAGCTGCGGTTCCGAATTTCTGGACGAGTTCCTTTAGGTAATTCAAAGCTTGGACGAGTTGTGCAGAGCGTTGGTTTTGGCTATTCGCTTTGTAATTGCTTTGTAAATGAGTACTTTGTAATGTTGATTTAGCACAGAGTTCTAATGAAAGAGCCCATTAATATAACTACTTTTAATTTTATATGTAATATTTTGGCATATACGTGTCTTTTCTGGGTGAGCCTTTTATCTAATTGTGTGCCAAGATATACTGCATCGTTAGTTTGGGGAAAAACATGAGATGAGATTAGGATTGTCGGCGATTTTAATTTAAAGTTATTTAAGGTTGTTTCTTCCACTTCTTCTTCATAATTATCTTCATGGTAGGGAGGTTGTAAGCTACGCCTAGTGAGAGGCAGTTGGAGAACCAACAAGCTTACCTGGAGACCTCCTCATGTGACCAGGGCATTACAATGTTATTATGCTCCTTACTTTGCAGTGTAGATGCCTTGTTCTGCAAGCTTTAAACGTCATTCTCTGAGAGTCCGTTAACATTCTCTTGGATCGTCTTCTAGTGAACGAAGTTCTCAAAGTCCAATCACCACCCATTACAGCTAAATAGCTCGAGCTGCTTCTGGAATTTCGAGTAATACTCGCACAGTTAATATCTGAATATTATAGTCGACCAAACTCTACTTATCCAGACTTGACTCCGATATACCTAACGTATGTCCTGTATGCCACCTTGTGGTAAAAACTTTTCAAATCAGCTCGCCTTCTGGACCGCCCTTTGGATGACCTCGATGACCTAACTGATCTTTCCTACTTCAAAGCGTGGTTTGATTTTGTGGAATAATTCCATTACTTACAGTGTTTTTGACTACTTTTCTTTAGAGTTCGAATTTTGGGCTCTTTTTGGTTTCAAAAACACTCTTTTGATGAGTCAAAACAGTACACAATCTTTACTCGGTATCTGCTGTGCTGCTTGTTAAATTGTTTTCCTTTAGGTAATTCAAATTGTTGAGACCTGCTTGAGTAAGACCTCAACCTGAGAGGAACAAGAACAAGTGTCGTAAGTCATTTGAGCTATAATTAAGTATGAACTTGTATATCAGCTCCTTCGGAATAAAGCTCACCACACTACTGAGACACATTAAAACATTGTTCATGAAATTCACTTTTCACTTGTATACTGAAAGAATTTCGTAGGATAAGAAGGCGGACAATGATACTTCTCACTCGCCCACAGCGGAGAACGTAAATCAGAAAGTAGAAAACACGACAAAAGTAACAGCGAGAAACCGGGAAGTCAGACTGTATGGCGATATTCGTACAAACACCCGGCTATCAACAAAAAAATTTCCATTAAGATTCTTTTCCGTTTTATTCTTTCCTTCACAAAAATATCTCGTTATTAGTCTCCTCTAATTAATTCATCTGGAAACATTTTTTTTTTTGCTTATAAAAATTAGTGGTTATTTTCAAACGTATGTCGATTAAGAGCATTCAATTCGTGTGGCAGCAATTATTAGCAATCAGTCAAATTGCAGTTTATTGAAATGATGTGGCACACACTGAAGTTGAAAATATTATTCATATTGTGCTTAAATCAAATGTACATGAGTCATAAGGAGCAGCAAGTAATTGACACTGATCGTATATATTTTCCAGGACAGAGAAGAGTATACAAGTCTCTTACGCAAATCAGCGAATACACAGTAGCACCAACGAATAAAAAGGCTCTGCCCCAATCTAACGAAGGTGTGTATGAAAGAAAACATTGGTTTAAAAATACTGAATTAAAGAAACTACCATTTAATAGAGATTACTAAAAAACTTTCTACTGGTGTAGAATTACGAAGTTTAAGGAGGACTATTCCTCTGCATAGACCCAGAATAGATCCACTGCCGAAAAAACGGAAGAGAAAGCCGAAACCTACTGCGTGTGAAAGAAATTAAAAAAGATTAATGCAAAGATGATAAAATGCACATACACAGATTTATATATGTTTGTATGTATGTATGTAGATGGCTCTATGGATTTCGATTAGGAATACATAGGGCGATTGTATTGATTCACATCAAACCTAAAAATACGGAAGGCTTCAATAAATAATTTTTAAGGAATAAATACAAAATCTGATAGGCTTAATTTTTCAACAGCAAAATAAAATAATAATATAGTATTTTACCAAATAATTTGAACACCAAACTTAATGTAGGGAAATATATTTAAAAAGGTATATAAAATGCGTTGAAAGTACAATAAAATAATGTTTAAAAGTGTTACATTTATTAGCAACGATATCATTAAAAATAATGTTAAGCTAGAATTTAAGCTTTTTTTGAAGTAAATCACCAACATACATATATGAGTACATACATATCTACCGAAAATAAGCATTTAACACCCCTTATCAACTGTGTACTTACTAAACAACGTTGTGTACTAAATAATTGCTGACTCGTTGGCTGAATGTTGATGGCCAAGCGACGAAACAACGATAAACGAATCACCGGCAGCGGCATTAGGTATGCAGAAAGCATCGCGGTCAGCGCTTAAAGGCAGCAGGCCATCCGAACCATTTACCACCCATTAATTTGCCGCTGAATGAATCGTACTTATGTTATTGAAAAGCAACAACAACAACAACAACAACAGCAATAGACAGACCCGCAAAGTCTATGTTATTGAACTGCAATTTGACATTTGAGCATTTTCGGTCGAATTCTGTTTACTTCATGGCGCAATAATGTGTGTATGTAACATTTTGAGGCCTTTAATTATGGCAATATAATAATATAAATAACAGCAACAAAAATAAACATATATATGTTAAAAATGAAAAATAAATAAATAAAATAAAGCAAAATGTAATAAAACAAAACAAAGTTAAATAAAATTAATTTAATTATACATATACAAATAAAATGTTGTTAAAAAAATAAAAATAATAAAACTGGAAAAAAAATAAAAATTAGGCAAAATTATATTAAATTAAGTTAAAACAACGTAATTGAAGTGTAAATAAATAACAAGAAAAGTAGAATAAGAATAAAATAATAATAAATAATAAATAATAAAAAACAAAGTAAAATAAAACAAAATAACATTAAATTAAAAGAAATAAATAAAATAAAAAATATTATATTGATTGAAAAAATGCTATAAAATAAAATAAATGAAGTAAATAAAACTATATTAATTTCTAATTAAATAAAGTAAATCACAATAAAACTAACCAAATCAAATAAAAAACAATAATATTATATTAAATTAAATTAAATAAATTATGAATGAAAAAACAAAACAAAAATGAATGGTTACCAGATAAAATGTCAAAAAATATGTTTTTTACACACAAGTATGTACATACATGCAAAGAATTTTATACAATAATATATACAATTGCATTATAGCACTCATACTGGTGATCTGATTTTTACGAATATGTTGAAGCATAAACTTAAAAAAGAGTTAACGATATAAGCCACAAGCGAACTTGTCAAAAATTTTCTATGGCTGTGTGAAATTAAATTGTACATGCAAATGTATTTGTGTATGCCTATTTTCTACTACATTTCCTAAATTATTGTGCATTTTGTCCACGTGTTTTTCCTTTTTTTTGCATATTTAGCCAATCAATGAAATAAATTACGAATAGTATATAAACCCAAGCAGTTCAAAGAGTTGTCATCAGTTTAATTTTGTTTCTTCAGCAAAACGACATAAAACCAACCTACAAAATGTTCAAATATGTAAGTATCCAATAGTAATTATAATCAAATTATTTAGATGCAATTCCTCTGAGCATAAAAACGATATTTGTATGTCAAAGTGATCCTTTTATTTCAAACATATTTTTTTTACAATTTCCTCTTCTCTTTGTAGTTCGCTGTTGTCTTCGTCGCGCTCTTCGCCTTCGCTGCTGCCGAACCCAAACCAGCTGTGGTAGCCGCTCCTTTGGCCTATTCTGCACCATTGGTCGCTTCTCCTTACGCTGCCGCCTATGCTGCTCCATATGCCGCTTACGCCGCTGCTCCTTATGCTGCCTACGCTTCACCCTACGCCGCCTACTCCGCTTACCCATACGCCAGCGCTGCTTACGTACTCCGCAAGTAAATGGAAAGTAGAGACAGAAATCTGTGATAGTAAATTGGATTTGATTGGCAATGAATAGGATACAATTGGACTAAAACTTTATTGAAAAAATAACAAAAATAAATTTGAAAAATCTGAAAAACGAAAATCTAAACTTTTTATTGCTTTTCTTTTAGTAGCACTGGAAAATTCAAGAATTTTATCGGATTTGAAATTATAAAGAGCTTATTTTTATTGGTAATAAGCATTGGATGAGCTTTATTTCGATACTTATATTCACACCTAGATACACTTTCTAACGTATAAGTTCTGCCCTACTTGGACATTTTTATTTTAAAGAAATATCTGTGTTTTACCAAGATTACCTTGAGATGAACTGAATACTAAATGTGGTGGGCGAGCAGTTCGATGCTGATTCGTTCCTCAACTGTTCAAATGTTTTTTGAAATTTTGCAATCTTCGATTTTTTCTCAAAATTTCCTCAGTATTTGACTCAGTTTTAGGCTGCATAAATAAATTAAAATTTATAGAAAAAGTCCTGAGAGAAAATTGAAAATGTTTATTCAAAATGCTCGAAGAGACTCGTATTGCAGAGCAAACAAGTATGCAAGTGCTCGTTGCCCGAAAATGTGTGAACAAAATCTTGAGCTCTAGCGTATATCTGTGTTTACTCGTATATACATACGTGAAATATATATAATAATATATTGTAATTGGTGTTTTAAAACAGTTGAAACGATTTTCGGCAGCGCTCCTCTAATTCTAATTAGTTAGTCAGATCAGGACCCGAACCTGCAATGTACAATTGTAAAATAGTTTCTAGCATGCATGGTTACTGAAAACCTTGTTGTATAGGAATAGAAGAGTCGAGCGGGTGCCTTTGAAACGCTAGCTAGCAGTTGGGATGGGGTGATTCTTGACACTTCAACTTCCACTATATGCATATAAGCACGTAAACGGTTATTTTAGACTCCCTTATTTCACAACAAAATAAATAAATTGATTACAACATCTGGCCTAAAATTAAATGGGCCAAGGTCAATCGTACAAACAAAAGAAAATATATAGGATCGTGACATACTGTGATGAATATTAAATAACAAAAAAACTAAGATACTTGACCAACTGGTTAGCAGAAGAAATATATAATTATATCTTAAAGGCGTTATTAAGATATGCGCTTCTTTAAGCCAGCCTACCTTGACTTTGCGATGCGCGAAAATAGTCCCTAATTTCTATTGAACCATATTCCAACATATCACAGTAAATTTCTTAATTTAAGAATTCATATTTAAAATTTAAAATTTTATTCACATCCTTAATTTTATTTACAAAATGGAGATAAAATATGGAAGGCTACTGGAATAAAACATCTTAAAAAATATACATTTTGAGCTTTAGATTCTTAGAAAAGAAAACTAGTTTATGCAAATGTACTGTTTCGAAGTGACACAAAAGACAATAACAAAGGTAATGTTCAAGAAAACTAATAACAAAAAAAGTAACTAGAAATTCAGTACATGTGAAATTGACTTAGGGTGCATGGCAACCCCAGGCACTCTCTGTAAAAATTTGCAGATAGGTTGTGCTTTTACATATTTACTCTACCCGCTCCTTCGCAGATGAGGTGAGCTGATGGGGCTAAACTACAAGATCAGCCGATCGGTATCATCCTCTGCTGCGAATGAGCAAGCACGAGAGTCAATGAATGTTATTACTGTAAGGTAATAAAATGCAATTCTCTCAGACAAACGATTAATACAAAATCTTATGGCATGATGATCGTCAAAGGCGTTCACAAAGATCAGCAATAATGTTGAAGCAGTTAATTAAATGATCATTACAATGTTAAGAAATATGTACATATGTATGAGAAAATGCAAACCCTGAATGCATTAAGTTGCCATACACGTGTATTTCTTTATAGTATAATTAAATTATTTGTGTTATTATTATAGAAAGATTCTTACTCTCTTTACCATGCTTTTAATTATAACAAAATTATATTTAAATAAATAAGAAAAAAAAAGTTTAGCGTTTATTTACTTTGTTTGTACGTGTACGTTACACATCTATTGTATAACCTGATATTGGTCTACTTTTGCACATTTTAAATGATAATTCCCATATTATGATTGTGTTTGGATTTAATATAATTTTTTGAAATATTCACTGCACGCTTAGAAGTTTTTGTCATAAATGGCCAATTAATCAAATCAAAAGTTCTTTTTATTATTAATTTAAGCCACACTTCTGCTTCAAGCTTTAAAGAGGACAATCTTGCAACTGTAGTTGCCCAGAAAGTTGTACTATTGTATTAAATGAAAATCATCAGGTATTGACAACTTTCGCACGATTTCTTCGAATCCACTATGAGATATTTCAAAATTATGAATTCTGAAGCGATTTATAGAGCCAGATTCCACGTTGTCCTGGTAAGATGATCGTGTAACTCACTTTTGCAAATAAAATAGTCTGCGAACTGGCTTATGAAATAGTGATGTTTCCACTTCGAAAGTTAAATAGAAAAAGGCGTCTCGTAATCTTTGCGAAATTTTATAATGCTTCTGCTTGACATATAGATAAAATGAATTCAGCTGAGAGATGAACCCCAGTGATGCATTTTTTGGGAGTTAGTATGAAATTTCTGGGCATTATCAATTTTGTTAAATTTTAGTAAAAATCTTTAAAATGTTCACCACAAACCCTGATCTTTTGAATGACCGTAAGCAATACTAACCAATCTGCTTTCGCGGCCACAACAGTGTATTACGTAATCCACTACCATTACAGATGTGAAAAAAATTAACTTATTAACCAACTAGCTTATTTAATCCAAAATACTTTCAAGGAATTCCGTTTCTTCGATTTTAGGAGAATAAAAAATTCTATATAAAATGCTCCTCACTTAAATCCGATATCTTTCATCTCCAAATTGAGCAAAAGATATATCAAAATGTTCAAAACTTTGTATTAGAGCTGTTTAAAGTATTGTAATTAAAAGGATTAAATAGTTTCCAAATTAAAATTTTTTCCTTGAAGAGAAATGTAGACATTGAAATTCTTCTCTTGAACTAATTAGGTATACGAGTATATGTATTTATATAAATAAAGGGCTCACAAAATTTGTTGGTAGGACATAATTTTTCATTTTTGCTACATCTAAATGCAAATTTACCAAAATTTCTGGCAATAATATTTTGTTAATCCTACTGCGGAAATTTTCAATGCAGTAAATGCCGAATTCAGGAAACGAATTAACTTAAGGGATCGTCAAAAATTAACTTGCGATAGAGAAAAGCGTGCCAGCAATGAAAATGACTAAGTTTCTGATTAAATTAAAATGCATTTTGTTATCGTGTAATTTGTTGTTTTATTTTTAACCAATTGTTTAATACTTTTAATCCTTCAAAGCCCGTTTTCATCATCTAAATTCCATTTACTTGCGGAGCACATAAGCAGCGCTGGCGTATGGGTAAGCGGAGTAGGCGGCGTAGGGTGAAGCGTAGGCGGCATAAGGAGCAGCGGCGTAAGCGGCATATGGAGCAGCATAGGCGGCAGCGTAAGGAGACGCGACCAATGGTGCAGAGTAGGCCAAGGGAGCTGCTACCACAGCTGGTTTAGGCTCGGCAGCAGCGAAGGCGAAGAGCGCGACGAAGACGAGAGCGAACTATTTATAAATAAATTAATTAATATGTAATTAGTAAAAACAATCTTCATACACAAAAAATAAATGAAAGAGTCAATTTCTTTTAGGATTATCAGTCTAATCAATTTATGCACTTACGTATTTGAACATTTTGTTTTTTTTTTATTGTTTGACGTTGTTTTACGATAGTAAAGCAAAATTGTACTGATAACAAATTGCACTGCTGACTTGTATTTATATAGGATATTTCGTACATATCAAGTTGATATAAATGTGTTGGCTTAATACATAAATAGACTTATAACACACATACGCACATATACTCAAGTGCAAATCATAAGTATGTAAGTGCTCATACTTAATGAGCTTTATTGACCTAAACACGTACTGTGTAAGTCGCCTAGGCGTTATATTAATAGTACATATGTATATACTCGTATATGTACTAAGCAGTAAAGGTAAGAATTAATTAGTAGGTAATACTAGTCCAAAATACGACAAAAGTTTAAGTTGTAACAAATTCTCTGTATAAATTTTAATGTTGTTAAAGGTAAGCAAAAAACGCACTGACATGAAGGCTCGGGTTCAAGTCCCAACATTCAAAAGTTATGGAAAATTAATTTAAATAAAAAATTAAGTTAAATTTTCTAATTGCGGCTTAGTATAAACTGTAGGTCCCTCCATTTGTTGGACAAACATCAAGACACAAAACCATAAAGTGGAGAAGGAGCTCGGCCGAAAATCGATTCAGCGGTATATATTTAAGACAACTGTCTCTTTGGGAAATCTTCGGGGTAGTGTATTTAATTTTTTTTTGGTAGTTTTCATCCAATTCATTTGACTACTGGGTAAATGTTATGAATATGCACATTCACTCTTCATACGAATAATACCCAAGGCAGGCTCAAATGTTAATCTCATAAGGTTAATAAACATTTAATTGATAATTGGCAAACAATAACCAAGTACTAAAAGCTTTTGTTATCAAAGAAAGATGCTAGAAAATTCATAAGTATTTAAGGATAACGAAATGAGAGATAGGTAAAATATTGTACGTTGAATATAATATTAAATTAAATTTAGAATTTATGTGTTTTATCCCTGTGGGGGTTAGGAGTTCAAGAATTGGCTGCCATAAGAGCTCACTAAATTCTAACACTCCCCACAACAGTCGGATCGCTATATTGGTTTGATCATAACTTTTATCCGCCCAAGGACTGTCGCTCCCGCAACACTCCCCAGAAACCACTTTTAGGAGTACTTTTGTGTTTACAATAGCAATAACAACATTCCCACAAATATCTACATACTTATATATATGGAGGCGAAACCAAAAACAAAACCAAACGAATTGGAACTAAACGTATTTCCAGTACATAAACTGAAAAATTAAAAATAGTTTATGCCAACACGTTCGCGACGACCCTGAAATGACAGTGAAACCGCTCTGAAAAAATATTAATTTAAAATGCGCGACAACTACCAAGTGTCTACCAAAAATAAAGTTGGCTTGAAAGTGAAAAAAAAAAATTAAATAGCAACAAATATGTTTGCGACGAAATATGCGTATTTATTCCCAAAAAAATAGAAAAACTCATTTTACTATTACGCATACAAGTACATGGTCTCGCAAATATATTGTACATACCTACAAGTTTATGTTTATAGATGCCGTTTGCAGATTTTTTTTGCAGTGCAAATTAAAGCGTATTTAAAGTCGAGCAGCGTACCGATCCATTATCAGTTTTATTTCGTTCTTCCTTGCTGAAACAACAAACCGAACTTAAAAATCATACAAAATGTTCAAATATGTAAGTTACGAAAATTCTTGTAAAAAGTCAAACAAAAGTTAATTCAGCCGACAGATGATTTTTTATTATAAAAATATTAATTTTTTACAGTTCGCACTCGTCTTTGTCGCTCTATTCGCCTTCGCTGCCGCTGAACCTAAACCAGCTGTGGTAGCCGCTCCTTTGGCCTACTCTGCACCATTGGTCGCCTCTCCTTACGCTGCCGCCTATGCTGCTCCATATGCCGCTTATGCCGCTGCTCCTTATGCCGCCTACGCTTCACCCTATGCTGCCTACGCTTCACCCTACGCCGCCTACTCCGCTTACCCATACGCCAGTGCTGCTTATGTGCTCCGAAAGTAGATGGAATGTAGTTAGAGAAGGGTGAATTAAAAAATACTAGGTTAAAAAATAAATTAAAATGATTAAATAATTTGAACGAAAGAAATTTAGTGCTTTCAATTCCTCTTCTTTATTGGCGTAGACATCGCTTAAGCAGTTATAGCCGAGTTAACAACAGCGCCACATTCGTTTCTCATCTTAGTCGTTCCTCTAATACTCTCACCTGATATTTGCACAAGTTGGAGATCTTCCTCTTCCTCTGCTTCAACCGGCGGGTACTGCGTCAAAAACTTTCATACTTGGAGTGTTGTCGCCCATACGAAGGACATAACCGCTTTATTAATTAATTTAACTGTGTCGATTTCCCCGTATCCCGCACAGCTCTTGTCGCTGTTGTAGTAACAACAAAAATATTCCCCAAATAGTTCGTTAACCATATCGTCCCTCTCCGACGTTATTATTGGTATTGATACTGGCTCCAATATAAACAAAATTTTACATGAGTTCAAAGTTATTATTGTCAACAGTAATTCGGGGGCCAAGACGGGAAAACGCTGACTGTTTGTTTGAAGAGAGTAGATATTTCGCCATGTTGTTCTCTACCAGGCCCATTCAACTTGTCAGGAGAAAGCCGAACTAACCAGGCGATAATTACGGCTCATGATGCCAATGAAGGGAAAAATATTTCGATTTCAACTAATCAGTTCAGCTTACTAAGCTTTCAGGCATGTGAAAGCTTATTTTTATATAATAAATTTTCAAGTCTTTTGCTGCTTAAAATAATATTTGTATGTATACAAATTTTGAGATTTCTTAAACATACTTCTCCCGACTTTATATCAATTTCGAAGAAGGCATTTGGTATCCTTAAAAACTCTGGTTTAATTTAATCAGGCAGTGTTTTCTATAGAAGTGTTTTCAGGCATCCATTTAATAGAACTTGAATCATTTTTAAAAAGAGGATGGTTTTTCCTAACTGTAAAAGAGATCTTCAGATGAATTTTTTTTTTCATATCGAAAGTATGAACATTTCCGGCTAACACTACTACCCACTCGAATACTGCGCTGAGTAAAAAAAATTCAAAAAATTTGAACATAACTAAATTTTAGTTCTAAACCCATTTCGTTCAATTAAATACCAATAAGAGCCAACTTCATAAAACAATTGAAAATCCATTCAAAGGCTACTTTGATGAAGTTTTAAACATACCCGCCAACGTCTGCCAAGAACACTAAGAAGTAAAATAGAATGAAGAAGAAGAGGAAATTATTCATTGTTACCAGTTTAATTCGATCTCAATTGCGGTATTGTGACTAATGAAGTGGAGCTTTACTTAAGAGCTGCCAGATGATTCCCAAGAATCGTTAGATTATGAGCAAACATATGTATGCGGGGAATGAATTTGTCGGCAACAACAAAATTATTTGAGTTGGAAATTGACTGCAGCCAACAGAAATCTACTACTTGGTAGATAGTAGATTTTTATGCGGAATTTCTAATGAGATATTTTTTTTGTTTGCACATGATTAGATGCGCTCGTGTCCTTCAACCAAACTGACCCCTGCAAATATACATACATATTTACTAAGAAGCACATGGAATGCTGATTACGCGGCCGCACAAATGAGTTGATACCATTGAGAAAATCCATACAAATGCTCATACGTGAATTAAAATCAACCAATTCTATGTTTAGAAACGTGATTACATTTCATTGCATACATACAAACAACATATATATGTATAAACATGTATGTGCATAGGTATATGTGTTCATTAATATTTCCTTAATACGCTTCCTCGGTTCGTCGAATACTTTTGTAAATCCTTCTGTACACTGATTTTACTACATTACTACAACTAATGTTGTTGTTGTTGTTGCTGGTGCTGTTGTCGGGCAAGGCTCATTGCTCATTGCTCACATTGCATTGCTTAAATGGACAAAAGGCACTTAGAATTGTTTGAAAAGTCCATTCAGTCATCTTCTACTGCCTTCGCCATACACGTATACTCGTACATACATATGTATTCGCATATGTAGGTTTGTTCACAATTGCCTATTGTGATTGCCCGCCATATGCAATGTATTTGAATGGCTCAGATATGCGGTTGCGGCGGTGGAGAAACTTCTCTGCAGGGAAAAGTACTTATTGACAACTAGAACTAGAATCGTCTGCATTTTTGCATGGCGATGTCCTACGAATTGACAATTATCCGACTATGCATCAGCTTCATACTAGTTATTTACCAGTTCAACTAGTTCAACAATAAAAATTATATAAGACAAAAATAAAAATGAGTTTGCCAGCTGCGAGAATCGAAACGCGAACCAAACAAGCTACAGTGATAACCTCTTACCACCCGGCTATGGTGACGTTGACGCGATCAATGTAATTTTGCGCAGTTCAACAAAACATAACTGAGTGAGGAACCCAGCCATTGTATGCTAAATATAGCAGCAATCTACCATATAACCAAGAAACATTCGTCTTCAAACTACTGGTATTTCGCTAGTATTTTTGCATTCTAGTCTACCTTCTTCCTGCTGGGTTATATATGTGCAGCTGTGCCTGTTTGGTGCACTATTAGCGTACTCTCCTTTCTAGCGGTAGTACTAACACCAGCAATAATGTTTTGAGTTAAGAAACAAGGTAATTTGTGGTCATGCATCTTGATGCCATTTTCAACAAATTCAGGGAACTACAGTTTATGCTAAGCCGCCTCCCAGCTGATGGTACCTTTATGAGGAGCTTTATTTCTGACACTCGGAGGGGTTGACATTCCCTGCCGATGGGCGACCGAAATTAGTAATTTTTTTTTATATAAATTAATTTTCTTTAATTTTTGGATGTTGGTCGCCGAGTTCATATCCCGGAACTCGGTCCTACCGAATGGCAGTACCTAATGCTAACCCCTCGATTATCAAAAACATACAATATATTTGCCAATATTTCTATTTTTGACAAAATAAACAGAGCAAGAACTCAGTTTGGTCATCTCGAAAAGAGCAACAGAAAAGAAAACGAGTAATTTTTTGTATGAAAGTGCTATAGTATTATATAAATGCGGTGTAGTACTAGTTCCGATGCGCAAGTCTTTATCTCAGGTACATTTATATGTACATAAGTACGAAGTTCGTGGTTGATATTGTTGTAATCGCGCGTAGGTTCGTTCGTGCGGCCGTTTGTCTGTAGTCTCATTTCGTATTCGCCACGTTATGCTTTGAGGCGCTTTGATTTCATATTTAAGCCATTTTCGTAATTGAGAATATGCCATGAATTGCCACACAATTGTGGGCCATAAGGACACACGATCGTATTTGCGTAGGTTATATGCATATGTACATATAGTATGTTTGTACATGTGTCTGTCGGCTCTGTGTATAGACCAAGTTGTTTGTTTGGATTCGTTATGTGGTTATTCGGTTATATTCCTACGCGGTTTTCACTGTCGCACGCATACACACATACCGACATTTATACATTTTACTTGATGTTTGCTTTTGCTCAACACTAACTCGTAAATAAGTAGAAATACGCTTCGCCACAAAGTTGCTTTCTATTCTTTGCGCTCTGCAAGCATCTTCGTCACTTCCACACCCACTCACTTCTTAACTTAACTTTGTACTTCTCCGATACCTTTTAAATGGCATTTCGTTGTTGTTGCTGTCTGACAAGACTCTTTGCTGTGGATAATGCTTTTCAATATCGGAGCTTTTAAAATTTTTTACTGAGGATTTTACTAGGGAAAAGCGAAACTTAGTAATTAAAACAAAAATCAGCGACGTCACTGATAGCGTGTCTATTCAAGACGAGGGTTACAAAAACCAACAAAACCTTCATATCTTTAAGCAAAAAGTCGAGGTAAATTTTCAAAAGTATTCGTATATACCAAAATTGCACGCTGACGCTAATAAGTAATTTATAATATGTGCAAAATTTAATTTTTTTTTTCATTTTAATAGTGTTTTTCGTGTTTAAAAGACAGAGAGAGAGAGCGAGAGAGGTAGAATTCTTGTGATCTCGTTCATGCAAACTAACAAAGTTATAGCGATAATTTCGTAGTATAAAGTGTAGTCATCAATTGAAACTTATTGAGGGTATCTCAGAACAAAATTGTGGAATGAGTTTGTCCTTTTACCATTTTATAGGCAAACTCATTAACTTAATTTATGGTTGGTCGGTTGAAGCGGCTGCCGGGCATCGGCACAACTACACCCCAAACGCGCCCATTGTGGTACTACTAAGGATCACTAAGACTCTCACACGCTAATCGAACCATCTTAGCTCCCGTTATTTCACTCAGGTCTCCAAAGGTTGCCGCCACTTCAGACTTCAGACTTCAGCCTACTTCTCCAAACTGCGGGGCGTTTATTAAGTGGCACGCCCAATCTCTCTGTGTGCTTGCCCATTAAGATATGTCCTGTAAGAAGACCTATAACTATATACAGAGCCTTCCTTTTTAGCTTCTTCATTTTAATTTAGCTTCATTAATGAATAACTCTCGTATATTGGCTTACAAGTGGAGAGCGGAATGCCCAAACTTTTCCATAATGGCGAAGGTGGATGGCAAGCGCCCTTCTTTGCAAGCTCGTCCGCCATCTCATTATCCGGTATGTTATTGTGACACGAGGACCATACCAGGTTCTGAGAGAACTACTAAGCCATGACGTTAAAAAATCTGAGGCAGTACTCTACGCTTTTAGATTTTACTGTTACAGACGTCAAGGCTCGTAATGCGGCCTGGCTATTCGAGAAAATATGGATGCGATTAGCCAAAAGTACCAATGACATGAGACAGTTGACAGCCTGATTTAAGGCCACCAATTCTGTCTGAAAAGCTTTAAAGTGATTCCATAAGCGGAAATATTTACAGATACCAAATTCCTTTATGTAAACCCCTCTACCGACCCTGTTGTGTAGTTTTGATCCATCCATGTAAAAATGAATCGATTCGGTGCTTTCTGGTGTTATCCCGTCCCAAAGGTTTCTATCAGGGATAACTACCTTGAAATCCGTCATGTAGTCAGTGAATAATATGCAGTAATCTATTCTTCTCCGGTAAATGGAATCTTCTTAAGATGTCAGTGGCTTATAACTATCCTTTCAGACACCTTTTGTAGCCTTAGCGCCGCACAAGCAGCATTGTGCAGCCCCAGCTAAGAGAATATTCATTGCCTTAGTTGTGGTTGAAGTACTCTGCCTTTTTACTCTATCGAATTTGGTAATAGTTGACTTTTTCTCAAGTACTGGCCACCAACCACCAGATTATAGCCCCATAGAGAGTATAACTGTGATACAAAGCCAATCCACTATTTAGGGTGACATGCTCCATATCCGGTCTGTCGCCTTTCGCATCCGTTCCTCTAAGTTCTTGTGAACTCTTCAACTTAATTTAATTTTACTTTATTTTCGTTTTCTGTTTCTTTCTTATATATTATTTCTTTCAAAAAATAATGCATATGTATATATAATATAATATAACCACTTTAGTTTCCTCTCTAAAAAAAATAAATAAAAATTATACAACTTATCTGTATTAATAGAAACAAAAATATTTCTTCCTCTTTTGCTATTGTTCACTGCAATAAAATGACGCTGTTTTAACCCTTTGAAGCCCTTGCTCTAGCATGTAAGTCACAAAGTAATGAAGGGACCATATTACCCTTGGCCTTGAACTGCTCGGGCGCTTGAGAAGACAGGGCGATAAAATCTTATTTGATTACACAATTCTTTGTAGAGCAAGAGCCAGGTACAGCAAAGCGCACATCGTTTTATGAAACTTGAAAATTTGTCTATGCATGCCAAGACCATAGATAAGAAGGATCTACTTTGGGAGTTAGCAAGACTCAAAGATGCAAAAAGAAACACACTCCCCGAATGTGTCTTATTATAAAAGTAAGACTTTTTATATCTACTTCAGAACAATGTTTAAAATGACCTCACCAATTCCCGAACACTTTCTGTGGTTTCAACCTTCTTCCGGACAGACTCGCACTCTACAAAAGTTGGGAGATTTCCAAAAGAAGATAGCTCAGTAGTTGAAAACTTGCTGTGGTTTTAACATCCTGCCGAATACCTCCAATGTCGCACTTACACACTACAATTGACATTATATGGATGATAAGTCATGCCTTGGAGTTATATTGGAATTGTATATTGGAATTATATGATGTGCCAATGTAGATTGGTTTCAATAGCCGTTTTGATAATAATGACAGTCCAAAACAAATTATTTTTTTTAACTTTGTTTGCAAAAAGGGACACAACATTTAAAATGTAGCAAATGGCAAATCAATTGAAAGCAAAAACGACATTCTCTTCGATCAGTACTTCACCCCGTTAATCAAAGATTATGCACATTCACATCAATTTGAGTCTGCGCAATGAGAGTTACTATAACTGGACCAGAGCAAGTTAAATATTATTCTGAAAAATATATCAAAAATCTGATCTAAAATTACTAGTCACGTTATGCTTCTTAGACACACTTGCGGGTTCATAAAATAATGTGCGCATGGCTGTAGCTGACTCTTAGACCATAAGGAAGTACTTCATGTAAATAAAATCACAATATTTTTCTTTTCTTTTTTTATCGTTTATTTTTGTTCACATTTCTTCTAAGAGCATATCAAATTCAGTTTCAGCCTTTTCTGGAGAAAAAATATTCTCCTATGTACACATCTTTGAATTACTTGCGGAGCACATAAGCGGCGCTGGCGTATGGGTAAGCGGAGTAGGCGGCATAGGGTGAAGCGTAGGCAGCATAAGGAGCAGCGGCGTAAGCGGCATATGGAGCAGCATAGGCGGCAGCGTAAGGAGAAGCGACCAATGGTGCAGAGTAGGCCAAAGGAGCGGCAACCACAGCTGGTTTAGGTTCGGCAGCAGCGAAGGCGAAGAGGGCGACGAAGACAAGTGCGAACTGCAAGTCAAGAAAAGATATGTAAAACTGCTATTTTTAATCGCTTTTATATAAATTTTATAATTTCATTTCGTGTTAGTATGGTTTATATTATTTTTTTTTTTTTTGTTTGGCAGGATAAACGATCTCAGAATAGTTGTATTTATATCAATACTTACATATTTGAACATTTTGGTTGTGTTTTTGTTTATTAGCTGCTTTATTGTTAAAGAACAAGAGTAAACTGATAATCGATCGGTGAATTGCTTCGGTTTAAATACTTTTTGAATGTTAACAAGAATAAACGCTATGAAAAAGAAATAGAGGCAATTTTATCTTTTTCCTTTTTGCACTGTTGGCCCACTAAAATGCATAAAACATATTTTTAAGTAATCGAATTACGGAGAGTCGCAATTTTGGTGGAAGCACGTAATGCTCTTCGCTTGAGTTTAAATTCAATTTGATTCACTTAGTCACTTTTGGCCGTTGTCGCGCAAATTAAGCCTTGGACATTTACTGGCATTTCACGGTCGGACATAATTTAGTTTTAGTTGAAACATTGACGGAATTTCTGGTTCAGTAAGACATAAGAAGGTTCATATTCTTTTAACTCAACTTAATTTTACTTTTATTCGTAATTTCAGTTGTTGATTAAGAAATATTTATTTATTCGAGCCAATACGATTTTGATAAGTATGTTTGGGGAGAAACTACGGACTACTTAAGCACAAACATCAGAAAAGCGTTAAAACAACGCGTACGTGTTAAAGTAAATAATGTCTCTTTTTCAGTCTACTTATCCACATAGTTCGTTATGTATACTCGCAAACAAAAGATTTTTGCATATCTACAATATATATTATATACACATATAGATACATTAATACATATATACTTGCTTATTTGCATTCGAAAAAAAATCGTATTTAAGCTCGAGTCCTCAACCAACTTACCAACAGTTACGTTTTGCGTCAACTCAGTGAAACAACTACCAATCAAAAACAAAACCAACAACATGTTCAAATACGTAAGTACCACAAAGCACATATTTCATATTCAATAATTCTGGAATCCTTCCAATATCAAATGTCGATATATTGATAAAATTCAATAATCCTTTATTAATTACATTCGACTTGCAGTTCGCTCTCGTTTTCGTCGCGCTCTTCGCCTTCGCTGCTGCTGAACCTAAGCCAGCTGTTGTCGCCGCTCCTTTGGCCTACTCTGCACCATTGGTCGCCTCTCCTTACGCTGCCGCCTATGCTGCTCCATATGCCGCTTATGCCGCTGCTCCTTATGCCGCCTACGCTTCACCCTACGCCGCCTACTCCGCTTACCCATACGCCAGCGCCGCTTATGTGCTCCGCAAGTAAAATAGGGATGTTTGGTTACAAAGATTTTATTTTTATTAAAGGCTGAAAAAAACTGAGTTTGATGTATTTTTAGTAAAAATGTGGAAAAATAAACGATGAGGAAAAAAGGTAAAATATAGTATTTTGGATTAGTTTGAGATTTTAGTATCGCGCTATCAACTCAAACAGGAACTCAAAGTCAAGGGCACTTCGCACCTCCAACTAATTTTAGCCGTGCCTGCGCAGCAAAATTGATCGAAGTTAAACGAAAAACATTTGTCAGGACAGTTTTATGTGGGTAACTTTCCATAGTTTGGATTCAAGCTATCTAAAAGATTTGAAATATCACCGATCAGAAACAACGTGGCAACCACTTAAGTGAGGCTCTGATTGTTAAACGTGTGTTTAGACTGAGTATTCAAGCCTTATTTTTTAAGCACGCTAAAGAAGAGTCAGGTTAGTACTTTCATTTCATGTGAGCTTTAAGTATCTAGCTCGGATATAAAAATGTGTGGTCTTCAAAGGTTATTGAATAGATAGTACAAGTGTTATATATGGACAACAACAACACGGTCACTATAATAGTCCTCTTGCTGCTTAGCCTTGAAATCTTTGACTTCTAAGGTCCAATAATATTTCAAAGAAATAAGCAAATTTTGAGATTTATTTTTATTACTTTCTCTAAAAAGAACGGTTTTTAATGAAATAGATGATACTGTGTTAGAGCAGTCTCAAAAAATAAAAATAAAAGTTTTCAAATACGATAACATCCAAAAATTCAACATGAAGCTTCTATTGATTCGATTCGGCAGCGACTGACGAAGAAACGCTAATCTAATTGGACTCAGCCTTCAAAGTATCCACTTAAATCCCCCAACATCTGAAATACTGTCAGACACAGCAATTAATTGATTAAAAAAAAGTCCGAAATTTCATTTAATGAGCCGTCAAACATGGCATAAACTCAATACTCGAATCTCTTGGCAGCACTTTCAGAGAAAGAAAATTGCAAATTGAATTTAATGCAATTTTTCTTTCTGAATTTATTGCAATTTAAGTTGCAGAAATTAGCTTCGGGTTAGTCACACGGCGAATTTGTGGCGAAATGGCTTGACAAAAATTCTTGGGACTCACACCAACTTTAAAAACCATTTACATAAAATTTTGACCCTGACAGATTACTCTCAAGTTAGAAGCTTTCGGTTGAAAAATAGACTCATTTTTTAAATTTCATTCTAGGAATAAAGGATTCCATCTAAAGGATATGGCAAAAAGTTTTATGATCTACAAACTGTGGTCTCGAGAAGAACGTACAGAATTACTTCTTAACTAATTTTTGTGAAAGCGGCTCACTTTTTTTCAGAAAGATTAATTTTTGACTAAAAAATGCGCACTAAATTATTTAAAAAAAAGTTAGCATTTAATCGAAAAACGGCTACGTACTTCCAAAAAAAAGATTTGTGAAGCTTCCATCAAAATTTCAGTTAAATCAATGAAGAGCGTCCGAATAATCTGAAATTTGAAAAATTTGATTTTGAGAAAAATACGTTTAAAGTTTTCATTATACTCAGCGCACGCTCTGAGGGGCTGCCGCAAATTAAAAAGTTATGTTTTTCACTTAAAAACCAAGTGCATATCATTTCTAGGACCCAAAGGTACCCTGTGAGCTAACAAAAAAATGCATTTTCTTCTTCTTTTCGCGCCTCGGCAATCAGCTGATGTAATTTAAATTTTTTTGGCGTTTCCTTATTCAAATATAACCAAAAACTCTAAAACATATTTTGAATTGTTTCGTTTAGTTATCAAAATTTAAGCTGTCAAGCAAACCGAAGAAATTTATGTGGGAAAAGTCGTTAGATTGTGACAAGAGGAGCAATCAAAATATTGTGAATGAAACAAGCAGATCCTCAATATTCTCACCAACTACTGCAAAAGAGATGAGAATAAAAATAGCGGTTTAAAAATCCCATCGGTCTTGTGGGTAAATTTCGATAATGTTTACCTCTAGCATGGAGGAATTTATAAAATTATGAAAACAAAAATCTTTCAATTCATACAAACAAACCAGGCTTTCCACTCGCTAAAAACTTTTAACAAAAAAAAAAAAAACATTTTAAATTCGCTTACAATTCGTCTTTCATTTTTGGTTTTCCAAAAGTTATTTCAAAATCAAATGTCTAAGCAAACTTTGGCAATTACATTTTATTGCAGAGAATGCAATTATCTACTTGCGGAGCACATAAGCGGCGTTCGTGTAAAGGTAAGGAAACTATTCAGCGTAGGGTGAAGCACAGTATAGGCGGCGATATAAGATAGGCAGCCAATCGTGAAGAGTAGGGCAAAGCAACGGTGTCAAAACCTGGCTTATGTTCAGCAGCAGCGAAGACGAAGAGAGTGATGAAAACGATAGCAAACTGTTCGATGGGAGAGAAAGCAATTAAATTAGGAATCTTAAGTTGAGCACTATAAGTGTATTTATCAATATTTTCGTATGCAGTGTAAACGATACTTACGACTTTTAAAAATTGTTTATAGAAAATTAATTTAAATAAAAAGCTAAATTTTCTAACTGCGGTCGTCCCTCGGCTGGGAATGTCAACCCCTCCGCGTGTATTTCAGACATGAAATAAAGCTCCTCATTAAAGAACCATCAGACGCTGGGAGGCGGCTTATTATAGACTATAGGTCCTTGCATTTGTTGGAAAAACATCAAGTTGCATGACCACAAATTGGAGGAGGAGCTTGGCGGAAAATGGCTTCAGCGGTTACAAAGCGCCAGTTAAATAAATAAAAATAGTTAATAATTTATAATATCTTAGTACGAAAGAAGCAGACATTAAAATTATAAAATTTTTAAAAAAGGAATGTAATAAATTTTGATATTATTTTGGCGATTAGTGCAAGAATTTCAATTCTCAAAATCGTATGTAATTAAATTACAAATATTACTTGTTTTTAATTGAATTTATTTTGTCTATGGTTGGCAGATTAATTTTAGTTATTTGAGTTTTGGTGAGAGTAGCTTTTAGTTATATTAACAGACCAAATAATGATTTTCCAAATTTGTTTGATGTTGCTGTTGCCCGTCTTTATAAAAAGCTGAAAATATTGAAATTTGAACCAAAGCAGCATGAGCACCTACTTAGTCGCATACATATGTACAGCTGTGGACAACTAATTAGAAACGCTCTCCTCTTGTAAGTGCTTGTTGAGCATAATTGTAAAATTTGCGAATTCACCGTTATATTTTCTTAAAACAACACTTGCATTGTTTTCGTTACTCCACTTACTACTCCATGCCTCCAAATTTGTAGTCGTGCATTTCAAGTACTATTATTACTTTCCCACTTTGTGCGACAGTTAATTGGAAACGATTGTTCTATAGTGACATTTTCATAACGCTGTGTTGTTTTAGTGATAACATTACTAATTTTTGGTAAGTACTTATATAAACTCTATTTTTGACCTTCATAGAGCTGGAAAGTCATATAGTCAAATGGCGGAAGAAATCAAATGCCCCAAAACGATGGTTTTCCAGCATTTTAGAACTGTTGCAAATGTCTCACGCGAAACAAGCCCCGGAAATAGACCACAGAATAGCAGTGATGTCGTGAAGAAACCTCAGACATTTAACGTGAAATTCAAAATGTTCTAATGTTCAACTGTTCAAATACTGAAGAGAATAAATGCACGGCCGCTGGTCGAATCTAGACTTTATGGAAGAGCAGCACACAAGAAAGCGCACAAAAGTCCAATAAGAAGGGCCTATTGACTTTGCTCATTCTGATTGGTCTTGGACCCAAAACCAAAAACAATAATAATCGCAGTATTCCTGATAGTCGGAGGTATGTTCGATGGCCCATTAAACAGGAACTTAATCCTCGGTATGTTTCACGCGTGGTGGAGCATAGTGGAGCATATACCATGGTATGGGAATGCTTTTCCTGGAATGGTGTTGATCCACTCTATGGGATAAATGGAGTTTTAAATTGGGAGGAATACGTCGACATACTGGAAAATGTTTTGTTGCCTTGGGCTGAGGAGAATTTGCCTGTTATATGGAAATTTCAACAGGATAACGATCCGAATCACACCGCAAAGTTGAACTCTCTGAGGAGACGTTGGAAGAGTCGTTAGTGTTAAAAATATCCTAAAAATGGATGTCCTTTTCGAAGGAAGTAAGAACAGTATGGAAAGCAATATTAATAGCGCGCTGTCGAAATCTCATAACATCAATGCGAAATCGGTGTGAGGCGTAGACAAAGCAGAAGGTTTATGCAACCAAATACGAACAATTCATGGATTTCACAGCTTTTTGTTAAACAAAATTTCTCAAAATTAATTTTGTACAAATTGCTTAGGATAGGATTTTAAGTTTTGAATATGTGTAAATAAAATTATAAGAAAAAACTATAAAAATGCATGCTTTAACGGGCAAAAAGATCATTCAATTTAAAACAAGCATCGTTTCTAATTAGCTGTCAACAGCTGTACATATTGTACATGCACACATATGTATGTGTAAGTATATGTTTTATCCGGCCTCCCAAGTGGGCCATAAGTTCGATAAACTTGAAAAACTCACAAATACAATAAATACACAAGCCATGACCTCCAAAACGTTGCAGCTGTTGATGATTCATTCAACACAAATTCCGTGAAATAAATTCATTTCCCTTCAAAAACTAACCGAACTTATTAAGCCGAGCACGTTTCCAATATGACAATTTATATGATAGATTCAAAGCAATAACCAAAATGTTATGTCAAACCTATATATAATATTATATATGTATATCTTTAAGTACACATACAAACGCATGTACGATACATAAATAATGGATCGTCCGTTTCGGAAATGGGTGTTCACACGTGAAGCAGCAGCGCGTTTAACGTCAATAAAAAATCGGAAATTCAGACTGATTACTGATACCCTGACCTTAGACAAAGCAAAAAATAAAAATAAAATAAATTAAAGATAAGGTAAAATTATAAGTTCATGAACATATTTATTTTTATATAAAAAAATGCAATTAAATAAACATCTGTATTTACATATCTACATACACGTACATATGTATGAGTGTTTATGCATCATCAAACATTAAGAGAAGAAAAATCATTTTAAAAACTTCACGGCTGTCTGTTGTCGGCTGTCTGTAATTGAGTTATTGCATGATTCGAGAACAAAGACAAGAGAATTTTCATAGTTTTGTTGTAATTCGAAATGGAAAAGCTGAAAATGACAACTGAAGTTTGTTGTTTGGTTACCATGGGTCTGTGAACATAAATGTGCAGAAATTACCACAACACAAAAGAGGCGAATAAAAGCAAAAGTACAAACGTAGCAGTTTGATGAAAATAACCCCAAAGCCATGTGTGGGAATTAGTATGCTGTACAGCGTGTTTCATTCGCAATGTGTGGCACAGACCAAAAATATATCTGCCATACAGCAGACACTAGCTTACGAGTATAAGCGAGACGAACTAACGCGCCATCAACTTGGGCAGCGTCTGCACGTAATTGACTTGTTGTTGTTGCTGTTGTATATACGTGGGACGTACCTTATTCAGCCAAGAGTGTGGCAAAAAACTTGGTTAGAAAAACCTACTTCATACATCAGCTAAAAGTAAGGTAGAGCTGGGATTGGTGGGCAATATGCTCGTTGCCTCAGTTAAGGTCATCAATTTTGGCAGTTGAGCGTTTAAAGTACTATGCAGAAGGGTCGATTTTGACCATTTCTTAAATTATTCACATTTTTTCAACTTAATTTGAAACTCTGTCGCACGAGACGAACTTTTCAACATGAAAATTATGTTACTTCTGTCGCTCTCCTTAGTATACCTCGTACTTAATAAATAAAAAAAGTTTTGAGTTCTCTCAAAACATATTTACTTATTATTCATTTATATTTTATTCCCTCAAAGGAAGGCAAGCCTGGAGAATATAGTGGTTTGGGCATGCTTACTATATTATTTAGGCGACAAATAAGGAGTGATCAGGTGCATTATTGAAATGCAAAAACCGAACTACACAAATGATTTTGGTGCCTTTCATAAAACCCAAAATGTTGGTGAAACGTGCTTAAATTAGTCGGGCCGCATTGAGTGCTGGGGGCTAGTTGAGTAACCTATCGACTCCTTCTCTATGGATGGAGTGATTCCTTCTACTGTCAGTCCCGGCTATACGCTAGTTGTGATGTTAAGGGAAGTCAGGCTTAGAAAAAGCACAGACCTTATTATCTTCTCCTCGATGAAAGGCCTGATCTTGCTATCGACCCAACTGATTAATGACGACCTTAGTAACAGTTAGGACTCCCTTCTAACTAACTTGGATACTCAAACCATAGACGTTTCGCACTCAGTCGAGAGTTTGTTCAAATTTTTCTTGGTAGAGTTAACACGGCAAATTTGAGGTATTCGTGAAAAGATCTCTGTTATTGTTATTAATTCTGCTTGAAAGACGTTGCAGCTGTCCGGGGTTCTCTTGGTCCAATCAGCTGAAAGTGGCACTGAGAGGGCACCGCAGCCGACACTTCGGTTGTTGAGCAGTCAGTAGCATGGTTATGGATCTTAGCACTCCTATGGAATTTTTTGAAAATGCATTATCCAAACATCAAGCTGAGAAGATTCATGCCACAGAAAAGAGTGAGTAAAACTTTGACTGTTGATCAAAATGTGCGTGCTTCCTTTAGTCTTCGCTCATCTGGTCCCTTTTATTAAGAGTTATGACCCTTTTACCAAACATATCTGAGCAACCCAGTAAGCGGCAGTCATCATCAAGTGTTCTGATGATTCTATGTTTCTATATAACCATTTTCTCCACATTAATGTAAATCATGTGCTGGAGCATTCAGGGCGTGCGCCGTTATTCGAATCTTTTCGGCTTGTTGTGCAATGCTTGTACCGATTACCTGCCCACCTGATTAATGACTCAGAGCATACTCACTTTATAACACGGTCAACGTTTCAGGCGCTTTTGAGCGTTATATCACTTATGCTGCTGCACGGGACGAAAGCTATTTAACCCTAGAGGAGGCGTACTCACGTACTGAAAATATCCATTTATTTAAATATAAGTATATAGTGCTACAAAAAAAAAAAAATTAAGCTGAATTTTCTAATTGCGGTTGTCCCACGTCTGAGAATGTCAACCCCTTCAAGTGTATTTCTGACATGAAATGAAAGCGCCTCATAGCAAAACCACAAATTGGAGGAGGAGCTCGGCGGAAAATCGCTGCAGTGGTTACAAAGCGCCAATTATATACCGTTACAAGTTTGAATTTGAACTAAATACCATTATTGAACCTTCAACTTCTAAAATGTTTATTTATTTATTTAATTGTTAGTGAAGGTACAGAGCGGAGCAAGAAGAGCAATTACATAAAACTTCGAAATTTGTACGACTAAAAAATTGTATGAGCAAAATGCTCACAGTGCGCTTGCTCCAGGCTTATGGTCGAATACCGGGAACCCTATTTTCTCTAATTTGCTTTGAAAAAATAAATTTTCTAGTCAATTACAGTGTCGCACGGAGCATTCGAATTTAATTTATTTTCATACAGGGTGCTCCATCTTTTATGTCGGTATATAAACATTGAATAACTTTGAGAAGAAAACAACCGATGTCTTTAAGTGATGTATTTTTATTCAGTTTGGTTCCTTAAAATTTTTTTGGGACTAGTTGTTGAAAACAATATCAATCAAGTGGCTACCTTTTTTAGCAGTTATAAAATTACTCCTTTTTTCTGCGTCGATTTCAGCACGAATGTATGCCTTGAGTTCATTAATAGCTTAAGGCTGGTTGGTGTAATCCTTGCTTTTCTGTTAACCCCACAAAAAGAAGTCCGGGGGGGCTATATTAGCGGATCTGTCAGATGGTGCCTTTTTGCCGCGATAGTTTTTCCGCTATGCATGTTGAGTTGACACAATGGAACGATTGTTTTCGATGTAAAGATGTACTATTTTAGCGCGCTCTTTCACTGTGAAGCGCTCCCTGGCAAAGATTGAACTGAATTGACGTTTCCAAAACATATCTGAGTATCTGATGCAATCGTTTGGTTGGTAAATGTGAAAGTTATTCAGCGTTTACATACCGACATAAAAGATGAAGCATCCTGTAGAGCGTTAAAATGCTTTAGGAAGCAAAACTCTGTCTTTAATTAAAAAAACAAATAATTTAAGATTTTTTTTCCATGTTTTTCGTTTACTGTAGGCTTTTCCATACGTCGTATAAACAAGCTTCAAATACCCCTGTGAGCACAGTGCCACCGGGTTGAAATAACTATTTACCCACACATGATTGTACCTTTTGTGGACTTGTAACACTGTTTGTTATTTTTTTTTTTTGTGCTGCCAGTGACAGTAATGAGCACTTAACGTGGCCATTAGCGCGCAGCCAGCTACTGGGCCGAGGGTAGCAGCGAAGTAATAGCCAACGGGCTGTTGAGCCCATTTTACACACTATGCATACTCAATGAATACAATGAACATACAACCATACAAACACACCAGCATGCATACATTAACACATACAAAACAAAAAACTATAGGTGGCTAGAACCAAACATTGGAGGCTGCAAATTGCGTGCAGAATTTTTATATAAAAGCACATTTCATCAACCTTTAATTAAACAGTATCTTTTGTGCAAGACAATAAAAGCCCACAAAGCAACATAATATTACAGCAATAATGTTCAAATACGTAAGTTGAGATACTTTGCTATTAGCAGAATTTACCATTTGTTTCTTGATTCTTAATTTTAAATGTCAAAGGATCCACAGAAACGCTAATAAAGCTTTCACTTTATTTCTTTTTCTCTCTATTGCAGCTCGCTCTCGCCTTTGTGACGCTTTTAGCCGCGGCTGCTGCCAAACCCAGCATTATCACACCTTTCTCCACCTACTCGACATCGCTGTTGGCTTCACCGTTCGCCCCAGTCTACACTTCACCTTATGCCGCCTACGCTACGTCTCCTTATTATTCCCCGCACGCAGCGTACTCGCCTTACTACTCCGCCTACTCCTCTTATCCGGCATATGGTTCATTGTTGTATGGGAAATGAACTGCGAACATGATTAATTCAACTATAAAAAAATGTGTTTATTCAGTGTTATTTTGCTTTGTTTTACATTCATGCATTGAACGAATAAATTTCTCTCAGAAATAGTAAATTTTATTTTATGAAATGTAAACGTCTGCAAGGTACTCATTGAAATACCAAATTTGGTGCATGGCTCTGTAATAAAGCCCGCAGAAGCGAATTCAGTTTACGTGCCTCTGATTGTGGATCCGCTAGTCCAAGAAAGGGAAAACTAAGAATGCCTCATAGAGGTGCATCTGCAAAAATAGATAATTGTGCAATGACTCTTCAAGATGAGGTCGTTTCAAGCTTTTGACACTCTACCGAAATAGTTCTAAACCACAGAGCTAACCTTCATCTTTGCGAAAATTGTAGTCAAATACTAGAGCTGGGATGCTAATGCTCAAAAAGGTCAGAAAGTCTCTTGAAATTTTTCGAGCGAGTTTAATTAACTTGAGCTCGTGTGACAGGATATCACTCAATATGGCAACTGCGAAGGTTTTTTGGCTTGGGAACCTTTCTTGCACTGTAGTTAAATTTTTGCCATAGACGGCGTCCATTAATAAAGAGAGTTTCGCCTTTATGTTTTCTAATACTAATAACTCCAACGGTTACCCTCCTCTGAAGACCCCGATTTTCAATCACTTTTTACAGCAATTGGGGTCATTTGTATAAGCGTGATTGGTTGCCGCCAAGGCGTCAATAGTATCAGCAAAAGTTTCCAACTCAGGTACGAACCATTAACCAGGACTCTATAGCGTTCCCCATTGACTATAATATTATGGCTGGCTTCAACAAACACTGACGTGGTCTCAAATAAAGCCTGTGGATTATCATCATTCCAAATATGATAAGTTTGTTTATTAACCATAAGTGAGCTTAATCGCTGCAAAAAATGTGAATGTGAAAATAGGTATCGGTGACCTCCGCATTTTGGACGCATTCGCCTACATGCGACGCGCTTGGCATTCGTTCGACTTCAATTCTTCCAATTTTGTAAGCTATCAAACCAAGTTCTTTCTGTAAAATCCTTCATAAAGTGGATTGACAAAGCTCCAGTTGTTTCGCGCGGTGGCGGATGCACTCATACGCCTTTTCGTCGATATTTTGGTCCACGTCGGTGCGCATAGGTTGCTTGAATTACCAACACTGCTGAGTGATTATGTCGACCGAATAACGGATACATTATTGACCACAACAAACGCGCCGTGAATTCGCTTTCTCCAGACTGGATATGGAAACGAAGGCTATGGGACTGGTAGTGTACGAGACAAGATGAAATATTTCGTATTCGCGACTCGGCTCCCTCGTCACGGTTCACAGTCACAACTTTGAATTCGTAGATAATTTCGTCTATCTTGGAACCAGTATTAACACCAACAACAATGTCAACCTGAAAATTCAACGCAGAATCACTCTTGCCAACAAGTGCTTCTTTAGACTGAATAGGCAATTTAAAAGTAAAGTCCGTCTTTGACGTAAGAAGACCAACCTCTACAAGTCGCTTGTCGTTCCCATCCTGCTATATGGTGCGGAGACATGGGAGTCGGAAACGGCGAATATCGCGTGCTGTTTGACATTGACATAGTTCAGGGTATTATGAAACAGCGGTTGCGCTGGCTAGATGATGTGGTACGGATGGATAATAAATAATACACTAGCTCTGACAGTTTCCGATATAGTACCCGTAGGAAGAGGAAGGGCGTCACTCCATTAAAAAGAACAAATAGAGTAGAACCTCGCTGTACTTAGTATCCCTAATTGGCGCCAAGCCACGAAAAAAATGAATGAACTGTTGTAAGTTCGGCTAAAATCGCGCAAACGGTATCTACGTCAGTAAGAAGGAGAAATGCGGTGCGCCTGTAAACCAAATCATTATTTTAGTAATAAATTTGCACGATTTGCCAACGTTGCTCTGGAGTAAGTTGGATCAGTAATTCACAAAACTACACCAAAACAATGGAATCCCGAAGGACCTGCAACTTATTGGTCAACTGAGCGTCTTAAATGGCTTTCGAGCAGTATAATGAATTGACAAGTTATAGAAAGCTACTTGATATATACTCAATTACTGCAAGACTTCTCTCTTAACAGATTCAAGTTATTGTGCATTCAAGGAGTATCCGATGACAGGTTACTACAAAATAGTGAGAAATTACATTCCCAGGGGGCCCTTGATTCAATATCAATGAGCAGAGAAACCTGTAACGTACTACTGGCTCACGGCGATCTGTTGCCAGAAGGATGGTTCTTCCATCAGCTTGTTAAACGCTCCACTCCAGTCACTCCACATTCCAAGTTATTCAAAAAGAATTTTCACACAAATCGATGATTTATTGACGTATGAAATATGAGTAGAAATATTTAATTGTCGATAAAAGACGTGTTAAAAAAGAACGCAAAATAATGAGCACGCATTGAAGTGAAAAATTTCACACTTCGTCTATCCGAGTTGGTGGAATTTTGTAAATATCAGCGTGCAAGCGTGAACAAGTCTTACATATTTCAAGCAAACAATAAAATTTATCAAACAGCTTTTATTAATACAATGACGCAGTCATAGATGGAAGAGTGAAGGAAATTTTTGAAGATTCTATCTGTTTGTCATCAGCACTAACAACATTATTAAGTAGTTACAGAAAAATCTCTTCTCTCTCTCTCTCTCTCTCTTTCTCTCTTGCTCTCTCTCTCTCTCTTTCTCTCTTTCTCTCTCTCTCTCTCTCCTACCCTTCTCTCTCGTATCAGCTCTTGCCCTCTCTCTGTCTTCGACTGTACATCCAATTACATACATTCCTTTCAATAACCGTTATTCGCTGTCAGCTGTTTGACAAATAATGGTTAAATATTAATGTAGTGACACTTCAGCTGGAAAAACGATAGCAAAAAGTTATAAACTCGAACTTGCGACATGATATATTGTAGTTTAATAGAGCATGTTGTTGAAGGTAAAACAGTCAAAGCAGAAGAGTCAACAACAATTTGCTGAAATGTGCTGTCAGCTGCGAATTGTGGTAAGCGACTCAATTTAAAATATAATTTTAGGCGTGACGAACAAGAGAAAAATAATATAAAATTGGACCAAAAAAAATATAACATAGTATAACTTGAGTATAACTAAATTAAATTAGTGTAAATTAAAATGAAATAATTAAAAAATTAAATGAAATAAATAAACAAATAAATTAAAATAAACCACCCAAATTAGTAAAATAAACAAAAATAAAAGCAAATAATAATAATTTTTGTTATTCAAATATTAATTCTCATGTATGAAAAAGCCCGGTTGTATAAGAGCTATATGATATAGACTTGCGATTTTGATGATTTTTCATTGATAATGTTTATTTATATATACGTGTATAGAAATCAAAATTTCATTTTCTTAGATGCTGTTTTGATGGATTTTCCAAGCCTCATTTCTAAGCGTATCGCTTGTTAGCTCCCATACAATGATATATTGCTTCAATTTCGATTATTTTCATGAAAAATATTTTTTCGTGTAGAAGAATGTATAATACCAAATTTCTTTCTCTCAGTATTTTGATGAATTTTTTAGCCTATTTCGATTTTGAAAATACCAACTTGTAATTTATCATATATGTACATTTGTATAGAATAGCAAATTTCATGATCTTATCTGCGTTTTTACGGTCCTTTATATGTCCGAAAATGTACCAATGCATTCGTGTACCAAGTAAAACACATGGACATACGGACAAGTCGTCATCCTAATTTGATAGGGATAAATTTTTTCTTCTTCTTCTACTTACATATTCCGGACCAAAGATTATATAAGATTTGAAATAACAATTAATTTTATTTTATATTTACGTGAGTAGTACAACTTCAGAGTCGCGTTAATTACTTCTACCATTGGAGTTTCTTGCATTCTGGCATATATATATATGTATGTATGTATTGATGATCTTTCCGATGAATTTTTGGGTTTTCTCCTTCTCACTTGAGAAGTTTACGATTGGTGGCAGCATCAACTGCCTTAAAAGCCATTAAGTTTTTTCTTACGACCCTCGTGCTCAATATATATATATATATATTCAACATTTTCCCTTACCAGCTTAGACATTATGTTTAATTTTAAATAAAATAAATTAATAATTAATTTAATATAAAAATAATTTAATAATAATTTAATATAAGAAAAAAATATTTAAGTTCATTAAAAAAAGGCTTCCATCTTTAATCTTAAATATTTACACCTTTTTGGCGATTAATAAATAATGTTGGTGTCTGGAAACAAATACGCTCACCACTTTCACGTGAAAAGAATAATTCTTCAAATTGATCAAATCATTTATCGTTTATGGCATTGAGTCTATTATGTATTTATTCACATACTTACGTAGTAACTTTCAATGTTATTAATACACATATATATGTCAATATAGGAAATGTATAATATATGTATACGTGTGTTATAAATTGGCTGCGGTTTACTTATGCATAATAAATCTTCTATGGTTAGCATGTGTGCATAATGTATTGTATTTGTTTGTATGTTTAGGATATGTGCCATAGTCACGCTTTTCCAGCAGCGGTTAAGTGGCCATTAGTCGATTAATACATATGTATATATATACCATTGTACATTTTAAATGCACGTGTAGAAGTATATGATTTGTTACAAAAATCAATATACATACATATGATTTATAAATAAAATAACATGTTTTTCAGTAATTTTTTTATTCGAAATTGGCAAATTAGTTTTCCATACAACATTTTTGCAACATACCAAACTAGATTATAAGAATATTAAATATAGAAAATTGACAATTTTTGAAAACCACAAATGAACTATTTAAATTCCCTTAAAATTTATTTCCACTTAGATTTATGTATGTATGTATACTTCGCACGAACGTCTCTTCGCGCGTGGAAATGCACTGAAACTTTATTTTTAGAAAATATTTATGGGTACATTTCAAACGAATTTCAACCCAAAAATTCCAAATGGCAGAATTTCCGAGAATAAATATAAAAACACTGACATAAATCAAACTGCAAACAACAATCGATTGCGATGATAAGTCAGACAGCTCGACAGAAAATTCGTGGCAACCGAAATTTGAG